ATTTATGTCCTATGTCACTGCTACTCTAATTATCAGGAAAAATGCCTCCATGTCCTATCACTGCCTTTAGCAGACTCAAAGGTGGTGGTAGAGTGAAGCCACTTTTACCCATTGCCTATTAAACATATCTTATATATCATTTAGGAAGAAGGCCAGTTGCAGGAAAAAAGAGCTTCTGGGAAGCCAGACGGCAGCAAAAACAGAGCTTCACCCAGGTGAGCATTTATAGGAGGAACCCAAGCTGCCCTTGCAGAATATCCCAACACTCCGGCCAGGCGTAGGGTTGGGGAGCCCAGAAAGCAAGTGTATTACGGAGTCCTAGAGGTAGGCTGACAGAGTCACCTGGTGACAAGAGAGACAGATGGGCAGTGAGGTACTGCAGCCAGCAGCTTAGAGGAGAGGAGAGGAGAGAAGAGAAGGGAGGGGACGGAAGGGGAGGAGAGGAGAGGAGAGAAGAGGAGAGAATAGGGGAGGAGAGGGAAGGGGAGGGGAGGGGAGGGGAGGAGAAGAGAGGAGCTGTACAGGTTGTCTGCTGCTCCCCACCCCTGACTGGATAAGTACCAGCACCAAAGCTCTCTGTCATGCAGGAACTGGGATCCTTCCAGTTACAGTGGTAATAGGCTGTGACACTAAAAGTAGGGTCCTGCTGAGACTGGCACAAGCAGTCTTTCGATTTTTGAGGTTTTTTTGATGAGTTTTTTTTTTTTTTTTTTGAGGTAAGCTCTCTCTATGACCTCCAGACTGCCCTTAAATTCATTATGTAGCCTAGATGAGCCTTCAACTTGCAGTGATTCTCCTGACTCAATGCTGAGATTACAGGTGGTTGCCACTACACCTATTTATTTCATGGTACTGAGAATTGAACTTAGGATCTTTGTACTGAGCTATATCTCCACACTTTTTTGGCTTTCAGGATTTGGGGAGGGGGTCCTTAGTTACTTTTCTCTCTTGTTCTTGAGACAAAATAGCTGACACCAAAAGTTAGGGAAGGGAAGGTTTATTTCTTATAGGTTGGAGGTTTCAGTCCATACTCAGTTGGCTTCAAGCAGCAGGGTGGCATGGTGGGGCCACTATAAACAGCAAGTGTGAACAGCAAAAGAAGGATACATGCCTTCTTCCTGCCATTATGCTGTACACTGGCTCTACCCCTGGGTGGGTGCAGCATTCACACCACCAATCCAAGCATAAGACAATGAACCAATCACAAATGCTAGATTTGGTCATGTCTGTGATTGCATGAGGCTGGGGGTGGGCACTGACATAAACCATGACAGCAGGAAGTGGCTTTTTTGAGACAAGATGTTGTTAAATTACTCAGACAGAGCTCAAACTTGTGTACTCATGCTTCAGCCTCCTAGAGGGCTGGGATTACAGTGTGCCACCACATCTAGTTTGTATTACATACTTGATCCTTTCTTGCTCCGTCATGAATGATGAGCAGTCACTTAATTTCCGAATATCTCATTGCTTACCTGACCTCTAATTTCAGGTAGCCAGATTTTAGGCCCTGCTCCTTAAGGCTTGATTGTCCTCCTGCCTGAGTTCTTCTCACTGACTTGGTCATGGTCATGTACCTTGAGACCCTGCTTGTGCTTTGACCACTAAGCTCCAGGAAAGTAGGGTCTCACTAAGTTGCTAAGTGGACCAGGCTGGGCTCAACCTGGCCATCCTCCTGCCTCAGGTGCTCCATGCATCACTGGTTCACATTTTCTCAGGCTCTCAGAAAGATGTAAGAGCCTTCATCAGACTGGATGACAGTTCAGTCTGTTTGACGCTGTACAACAAAATACCTGAAAGTGAGCAGTTTATAAGGAAATAGAGGGCTTTTTTGGCTTTTGGTTTTGGAGGTGGGAAAAATCCAAGTTTTAGATGGTCACATCTGGCACAAGCCTTGTGTTAGGGTTTTCTGCAGCAATAGAAAAGCAAAAAGAAAGAAAAAGTGACCTTCATTGAGGATGTGGTGAGAAGTAAACCATGGGGTTGTCAATTCTCCTGGATCAGAGGCATGAGGTTGGGCATTCTTCTTGGCCAGAGACAAACATGGTGGGACGTTTTATGACCACTGACCAGAGGCAGCACTTGGGGAGGGCATTGATGATGCTCGAGCAACTGATTGGAATTCTCTTCGCTTGCATGGGAAAAAAAAGGAAGTTATAATCAGGTATGAAGGGGAAGGAGGAGGAAGTGGTTGTCAGGGTAAGTGTTGTTTTTTCTTTGGCCTTCCATCATTTTAGACCACTGCCATAATGTCCAGTAATTTATACTAGAACAGAAACCTTTCACCCTGTGCCACATCACACTGGGTGGTGTCACGTGGTGAGAGTCTGTATGACAGCTGCAAGGGGAGTGAGGAAGAGAGAACAGAAATGCCAGGACTTATTACATCAAGCTCTCTCACAGCACCTGAGTCAGTGTTAAGAGACCTCACTCATCCCGGCTTGAAGAACATCAATCGCTTCTCAGTGTGAAGCTCTTGATATTGTTAACCTGGAGACTACGTAAGTCTTTGCAGGACATATCATATCTAAACCGTAGCACATGGGATTTGCAGATCTCTTCCAGGCTTTACCACAGATCTGCTTCCAAAAGGAAAGGTTGGTACTAACTAACTCTGGCCCACGTGGATACATAAACCTAGTCATCTAACAATACATTGATAAGCACATCTCCAAACCCTGACCATTTGCAAAGGTTTCAAACCTCATCTAATCACGAAATAAGCAATCTTCTCTGGACTCAATATCCAACAGCTCATGGATTAAGTGAGAGTATTTTTTCTCACCACCAACAGAATCCAGGGAACTTCTGCTACAGTCAAGTCATCCTTCCTAAGAAGCTAGCTACCCTGAGATGTTGTTCTGTCTTTCCTTCTGCTGAAAACTTCCTCTGCGCAAAGAAAGGCGGGCCACAGAACAGAGATTAGGAACCTCATCTATGATTGTTCTGGGAATCCAGTTGAAGGTGGAAAGGGAGTAGGGGAGCCAGCTCCACAGACCAGCAGGTCATATACAGCAGCTGCTCCTCACCCTGGGGAAATACGCATTCTACACCAACATACCTGCCCGCCCAGGACTCAGCTCTACAACTGCCTCACACATGTGTGAAACCCCCTGTAGGCAAAGGAATAGCCCCAAACCTCATTCTTGATCTTCTCGTTTAAGAAAAAATAAACTCACATCATTGCCAGTTCTCAGATCCTTGTGATTTCCACCCAGACCCTACCACTCCTGTTACCAAGGGTCTCCAGGATTAATCTCCCATTTCTGGGCCAGGAGAAGCAAATGGTCTCTCATGAACCAGTAAGAGCTACCCCAAAGTCGGCTGAACTTGGGAGCTGGCTGACTAATCTGCGTGAGGCTCCAGGGTACAGATTCTAAGCCACTCTTAGGTAACACTCCTGTCACTAGTACTTCAGGATAACACCCAAGACCTATAGCTTGTATCTATCATTTGCAGGAAAGATAATTGCTTGTCCATATCAAAATCTAGGAATATAAGTAAATTTATGCTTCTCATTACAGCTTAAAGAGTACAAGAATACATGTCGATTAAAATTTTCCGAAGTAATTAGCTAATTATTTTAAGAAACAAACACATAACTAAAGCTTTCTCCTACAATAGCTGAGTTTTTTTTTAAAATCTGGAGAGCTAAATTTAAGCTCTAACTCCTTCTCTTTCCAGCTGGGCAATCTGAGAATGAGCAAGTTAATCGAGGTCTAAACCATGGATTTCTCAGCTGCAATGCTAAGATAACATCTGTTTGTAGGGCTACTGTAAGAACTGAATAGCCAGGCTCCAGGGCACATACTGGAATTCTGCCTGCTTAGGAGGCTGAGGCAGGAAAATGGCAAGCTTGAGGTCAGCCTGGGCAATTTAGCAAGACCTTGTCTCAAAATCAAATTAAAAGGAGGGAGTAGTGGGAATGTACCTCAGGATTAGAGCGCTTGCCTACTATGCACAGGCCCGCGGCCTTGGGTTTGATCCTTAGCACAGCCAAAAAAAAAAAAAATTATATATGTGTGTGTGTGTGTGTGTGTGTGTAACTTTGTCAGCTGAAAAGTGATGTTTACATACTAGTTTTACGCTTTCCTCTATCTTTCCTATTCTCTCTCAATAGTAATCTTACCTTCTACTTCCGGGAGACAGATGAAAATCCTTTATCTTTCCAACACCAAACTTTGGATCTGCCAGTATCTGCCAGTGATCAATTAAGGAAAGGATTGAATATGTAAAACAAGCTAGGTGTGATGGTGCACCATTGTATTCCCAGCATTCTGGGAGGCTGGAGCAAGAGGATCAAAAGTTTGAGCCCAGCCTGGGCAAGCTAGCAAGATCTTGTCTCAAAAAAAAAAAAAAATTAGAAAGGGGACTGGGAGCTGTGGATGTAACTCAATGCAAAGATCCTGGGTTCAATTCACAGTATCACAAATAATCAGGCATCGTTGTTCATGCCTGTGATCCCTGCACTCAGGAGGCTGAGGCAGGAGGATCACCACAAGCCCAATCCCTCTCCCTGTACGTCTGCTATTCTCCATGGCCACCTTAGGAATAGATTATCCTCTGTCTCTCAGACTTTGAGCCTTTAACTGTGGTTTAATGTCTCCCACTAAAACTCTGGGTTCGCTGAAGTGAGGGGGATCAGATCTGAAGTTCTGCCTCCTAATGAAGCCATAGTATCTCCTCCCTCCCTGAGGAGGGAAGGAAACACTGGCCCCCAAAGGGAATGCTAGGTGTGTGACTGTTCGGTGCCTGTGTGATGGTCGTTAGCAGGATTAGGCCCCTGAAGAGTGAGAGGCTCTTTCTTCTACCACATGTATATTTAGAGTTCAGGAGTTCTCAAGTTTAACACCCTAGGCCACTTTGGTTTTCCTCTCAGAATAATATTAAATGTGTAAAATAAAATACATATGATTACAAAGGAAACCCATTGTATTCAAATAATTACTATAAAATTGTGATATGGTAGTGTTAGTTTTCTGGCACAACAGAGAAGCAGGATATAAGAAAAAGTGAAAGAGGCCTTTTTATTTGAAAGAGTGGAAAGGAGCTCAACCGTTTGCCTTTCTGCTGGATAGAGAGGCAGAGGGTCATATGACCTCTGATCGGAAGTGGTGCGTGGGGCGGATATGGACGACGTGTGAGGAACTGATTGGAATTTTCTTCACGAAAGGGAAAGGGAGTTGCAACTAGGGCTGAAGAAGGAGGAAGTGGTAAGCATTTCCGGCACTGGCTTCCCTTATGTTAGACCACGGCCATAACTGTACAGTAATTTATACTACGGCAAGAACCTTTCAAGTAGTATACCTGTTTCATTATAAAAGTATTAGATAAAAAATTTAAAGGTCAGGCATGCTGGAGCACACCTATAATCCCAGAGTTTGTGAGGCTGAGGCAAGAGGATTACAGTGAGTTCAAGGCCAGCCTGAACTGCAAAGTAAAACCCCATTTCAAAAACCACCAAAGAAAATCAAGAAATAAAGAAATTTAAAGGCAGGTTTGATACTTACCATAACTATAAATCAGCGACGAACACAAATGGCATTGTACAAAGTCCCCAACTGTCTCGTAATGTAAGCATCTGTGATTTTTATTGGTGATAAAACACAATATCCTACCTCTAATACTACTGTGGTTTGCTTCCTATCGTGTTATGATTAAGGTAAATGCGGACTTTCAGTTACAAGTTCAGTTACAATAAAAATCCAGTCTCTCCATTTAAGGTTATGGGTTCTTCATGTGGGTCCTTGAACAAAAATCTGTGTTATAAACACTGCTGCCACTGGACTTGATTGGTTCCTGCTGTCCAAGAGCTTCCCACAAGGACGCAGGAGCAGGTACCAGCAACAACAGAGAGTAAAAGCCATGATTTCACCTTGGTCCTGAGTCCCCAAGGGCACCAGTTAGGAATTATTAATGCCACATTGAGGCATTCTGTGGAGGTCCAATGTTTTTAGATTCCGGGACTGAACTGGTTAGAATAATTTTTTTATTGTGTGAGTGTTGGGGATCAAACCCAGGGCCTTGTGCATGCAGGCAAGAACTCTACCACTGCGCCACATCCCCAGCCCACAATATGATTTAATTGAGGGTCAAAGTGTAAGCTAGGAGTGGAGTTGGAGTCTTGCAAAGCATTAAGTTTTCCTTAGGAATTCCATAAATTAATTGGGATGGAAAGACTGACAAAAGGTAGGAGAAATGTGTGTGTGTATTGAACAAAAACTGATAATAATGTAGTTCTCATAGTCTGCTTTTCTTTTTTCTTTTTCTTTTTGGTCTTTTTGAGACAGGGTCTTACTATGCAGTTCTGGCTGGCCTTGAACTTATTTTGTAGCCCAGACTGGTCCCAAGCTTGAAACAATCCTCCTGCTTCAACCTCCCAAGTGCTAGGATTACAGGTGTGCACCGCACGCCTAGCTCTCATAGCCTACTTTTTAAAAATAACTTCACAGTGTAGCAGGAAGAATTTTCAATATCACAGTTACACAATTTTATTTATTAATGTCTGCAGTACTAGGATTGGAAAACGGCCACTGAGCTATATCTCCACACCCTTTTTTTTATTATTATTATTGTTGAGATTATTATTGAGATAGGGTCTATGTTGCCCAGGCTAGCCTCAAACTTTCAATCCTCCTGCTTCACCACCCCCAAAGGGGCTAGGATTACAAGCATGTACCACCACACCCTGCTGAGTTGTAAAATTTTATTAATGGCTGTATATTATTCTATTAAAGACATATGCTATAATTTATTTCTCAGATCTGATGTAATCAGTGCCCTGATGAGTGTTGTAGGTTAAATCTACATTCTATTTTTATATCCTGAGACTATTTATATATATATATATATATAGAATGGTTGTACTACAATTTAGCAACAACCACAAGAACAATGCATATATTAAGGACTTCTTTGGTCAGTACTGTTATACTGCCCTCCAGAAATATTGTCCCGGTTCTTATCAGAACTCAGGTCCTGGCTTGAAGGTGGTTAGAGACTCAATGTTCCTAAATGGTGAGAAGTAACAGAATCCTGCAGCAGAGAACACAACCCTAAGCCCATGATGTCCTATTTTCTGCCATCAGGCCAGACTGTGGACTGGAGCAGGGTCCAATACCTGGGGCCCCTCATGTTAACTTGATGTAAACCATTTGGATGGACCCTGTATATACAACCATGCTAAGAGAACCAAAGAAAGAGGCTGGGGTCCTTGACCATGCTGCGGGATACAAAGTAACACACACATATATAGGATTCAGGGAGTACCAAAAACAGTTTTTGTGAAACACATAAACAGCAACAGCCACTTGGTCTATGACCTCCATACCTGGCCATTCCTCCTCCAGTATTTCCTTTGTTCAAATGATAAAGGTCTGGGGGAGTTGCTGTAGTATAGGAAATTGTTCCTTCTCCTTAACTGTCTCTGTTTTGTTTCCTTTGTAGCTAGACAATACATTCTAGGAGATAGAAACCACTAGATATTTCTTTTAGATAACCAAAATCAGTAGATATGGGGGAAAAGAATAAAGCTTCCTAATTCTCTCTACTGTTCCAAACTATACTGGATTGTTACAACCTAAGTGGGCCTACAGTGATGATTTTCTGTCCTCCCTCATGGCTTTATAGATGGAAACTGGCTTTATTTTGTGTGTGTGTGCAAACAGACTAAAGATCTGTTCTGGATCCATAATCCTACCCCTCAGATCTATAATTAGACTATCGGTATCTGCTATGATTTGAAAGTTTTCCCCAAAATCCATGTGTCAGATACAATACCCAAATTCATAAGTTAATAGTACTTGGAGATGGGGCATTTGTGGGTAGGTAATTAGGATTAGGTCATAAGAGGAACACCCCATTATGACATTAGTGACATTGTAAAAGGAAGACCCAAGAACCAGCAAGCTTCTTCTGCCTCATACGACGCTCTTCCCATCGTGCAGCAAGAAGGAAAGCCCTCATCAAACTCTGAGCAGATGGGGGCCCCTGCTCTTGGAGTTCCCAGCCTTCAGAATGTGAGCCCAACAAAATTTTACTTTTTTATAAATTTCCTGGTCTTAAGTGTTTTGTTACAGTATCATAAAACGAAGTATTTTCTCCCTTATCTTTAATGGGATTCTGTAGGCTATAGTTCCCCATTCATAATCCTAATGTTGCAAAGCTGTGGCCAGAAGACTTGCCCTTCCCCATATACATTTACACCAGGGGCCCTTGCCCCACTGTCCTCTCCCTCTCCAAACCTAGGAGGAGCCCAAAATCTACAAGGGGCAAATAGATCCTGGATTAGCCTTTGCTCTGTGTGTGTGCGCGCACGCGTGTGTGTTTGGTAGAATTTCCAGCTATGTTATTCAGACTGACCTTGAACTCACCACGTGACCCAGACTGGCCTCCAGTTTGTAGAGGTTCTCCTGCCTCAGCTTCCCAAGTGCTGAGATTATAGGCGTGCGCCACCTAGCTTTCGCTTCTGCTCATGGGCGCTTATCTGGCCTGCTTTATCTCACTGTTTCCTGGGTACAACCCTGAGAAAAGGGGCTCCTGAACCTTTTCTCCAGCTCCACTTCTCTCTGGAGTGACAGTAATATCCCTTAAGTGTTGCACTGCAGATCCCACTCTCTCACCTAGGGGGCCCGTGGTGTCTCCCTGGTCCTCTTCCCATTAGGCCAAGGCTAGTCTTTCAGTCCTACTGCTTGCTGTGTGACATCGGTGCTGTCCTTGGTCTCGGAGAAGTTAATTTGGATTTAAAACTCTGCCTGCGAGCCAACCTCGGGACCCATACTTCATTTCACTGTGGCTGTGACTGAATAGCTTTCGTCACGCTGCCCATCGTAGGCGGACAGACGGTGGCCCGATGATCTGCACCGTCCGCACAGGCATCCCGTAGCAGCCCGTCAAGCTTCTCCACCCATCCCTTGGCAACGGCTTCACGATCTGTTTGGGTGGGAAAAATAGCGCACATGACACGCAGAGCAGCCCAAGTCGTGTCCAATCCGATCACGCTCCCGCGTGTGTCCCAGATGCAGCCCCTGGAAGAAAACAAGTGTCTGCGGAACTCGGTTCCCAGGGTCCTCCGGGTGGGCGTTATGCTGTCCCCACCCCACTTCCTCTGGGGCATGGCCACCCCGCACCCCTCTAAGCCGGTCAGCCTGAGCTAAGGGTGAAGCCCGGTTCCCGGCTGGCTCCAGAGATCCACGCCGGTGCGCTCCGGTCCCCGCCAGCCAGGAGTCCCGGGGTGCGGCGGGGCGTGGGGCGGGGAGGCGCCGGGAGCAGCCAATCCCCGGGCCGCCCCCTCCCCGGCCGCCGAGCGCGGAGCCCAGCCGGGGCGGGGGCGCCTGGCGGCGGCGGCAGCGGCAGCGGCGGCGACGAAGGCTGCCGCGGGGAGGGATGGAGAGGGGCGGGGGGAGCGGAGCCGAGCGGAGACAGCCGCGGTGCTGCAGAGCTGCTGGGGCGGCGGCGCGGCTCCCGGTGCTGCCCCCGGCGCGCGCCCCGAGCCGCTAAGGGGCAGGCGGCCCGGAGGCCCCCGGAGCCATGGGCTGCATCGGCTCGCGGACTGTGGGTGGGTACCGCGCCGGCGCTGGCCGGGGCAGGGCTGCGCTCGGGTCGCCGCGCCCCCTCCCCCATCGCGCCCCGGCCCCCCGGGACCCCGCCGGCGCCTGCACTTTCCCAGGGTCTGCGCGCGGTGCCCGCATCTCCCCCGCGCCCCTCGCGGCTCTTCTCCGCTCCCGTCGCCCTCCCGCGGGCGCGGTCCTCTCTATCCCCGCGTCTCCATCCGCCGCGCCGCCCAGCTCTTCGTCCCCATGCATCCAGCGCTCCTCCACCTCCAGGCCCTCGCCGGCCCGGGTGTCTCCTCGCGCACAGTTTCGGGGGCATCCCTCGCCCTGGCTCGGCCCCCTGTTCCCCTTCGTCCGCCCCGGGTCTTCTGCCCCCTGCCCTTCCCCTCTCGGTTGCCTTTTCCCGTCGATCCTGCCTCCCCTGGTTCGCTTTGTTCACGTGCGTCTCCCTCCGGGGCGGGGGCGGGATGCGCCCGGTGCCTCGGCCCGCAGGGAGCGGGGCTCGGGCGGAGGTGCCTCGCGGGAGGGCGCGGGGAGTCGGAGGCCGGGCTCGGCGCGCCCAGAGGAGTCGCACCTCGTTTCCAGCAGGGTGGGGTCCTCGGCAAAGGAGCCCCGGGACGCCGCCACCTGTCCAAGGGGACGGCGGGGCGGGGCCGCTCTTTATTTACCTTGGACTGGCTGGGGGGAGGGAAGAGAGGCGCTTGGGAACGTGTCCTCTCCCTTCAGCTCTGTGTTCCTGCTGCCCCTCACTCCCCACCCCATACACCCACTGCACTCTACGTTTTAGCGAATTAATCCAGCTCTCTGCTGAAAGCCCCAATTTTCCCCTTCCCAACTCCTAGTTTCTCCCGCCTACACGCCCCAATGACCTCAGGCTGGGAGAATAATTCGTATTATTATTATAAACAAACTCTCTCTCTCTCTGGAAGCCTGATTTCTCCGAGACCCGAGTTATTTCCATGGAGACCCCCCTCCACCCCTTTTTTTCCTCTCTTGCCCTCCTCCTCCCTGCCCCCCAAGCCTCTGACTCAGCTCTGCCTCTTCCTCAAAGGCCATCTCCCCTCCCTCCCCTCTCTCCCACTCTGCCCTCCCCATCTTCCTTCCCAGAGACCGGTCCTGGTTTGTCCCATTCTCAGTGTCCATGTCCGTATGTCCATCTTTCCTCCATGCCCCAGCAGCTGACCTATCTCATCCTCCTCAAAGACCCTGTCTTTGCAGGGGACCCTACATCTCACAATCCCATGAACTATTCCACCGCCTTACACCAGCTTACAACCTGTGTTGCTGCATGCCAAATGCCTCTTCGTGCCCAAGACTGGGTTCCATGCACCCCTCCCCAAGAAGTGACCTGCACCCACAACTTGGTCAGAAAATTTCATGTGCATGGAGGATCTGTGAGGGCAGGTGGTGCAAGCAACCATGTGATGCTAGAATCTTGCTTCAAACACCTGAGCAGCTCTTTCCCCCAGATTTTACCAGGTACAACCCTGTGCTTCGGCCAGGAGCTGTCCCCCCTCCCCACTGTGGCCCCTCACTTTCCCCTTCAGCCCTCAAGCCTTGCCCTCCTCCCACTGTCTTCTGTCTGCTTCCTTTGAATTCCTGTACTTTCCATTCCTGTTTTACAAAGTCCTCTTGTCTCCTTGCACTGTCCTCCACCCCTCCTCTTGAATCTATCCCATTTTCCTACTGTCAGTCACCCTCCATTGCTTTGCTCTTTGCTTCTGGGAGAACACACTCAAGTCCCTACCTCTTGTCTCCATCCCCACCACAGCTTCCTCCTGTCAGATCCATTCATTGGTTCTTATGGAGGCTTCTCTTTCAAGGGAAGATTAAGAGAATTCCCCTAGAAAAGTTCTGCCCTTCTTTGTGGAACTAACTGGTGAAAAGCCCAGATCCCCCATAGAAATGCTCAAAGATTCCTTTGGACAGAACGGAGAATTGTTTTCCTATGAAAACTCAACCTCTGATCCCCTGCACACTCCCTGTCAATAACAACAACAACAAATAAGGCCATGAGTGTGCTATTTTTGGTTGAGCTAAAACTGGATAGTTTGGCTCAGCATTAGTATGTGTCTCATCAAAAATTTGGGGACAGTAGAGAGGTCGCAGGGAATGGGCACTCAGAAGGAGTAACAGCTGGGTCCCGTGGGTGACTTGTGGAAGCGTAGGTGCCTCTCAGCATTGTATGGGCAAAAACCAAAGAGGGACACAGGGGAAAGAAGGTAACCCTCTGGCCACTTCAGGGAATGAGGTGATTGCAGTGGACTGGAAGGGCCTGAAGGATGTGGATCAGATCAACATGGACAGCACCAGCTCACTGCATGGGAGCAGCCTCCACCGGCCTTCCACGGAGGTGAGTCCTGTGAGGTCCGTTGTCCCAGTGCCAAAGGACCTTGGAAAGACCCCAAGAACCATCAAGGAGCAAAACCCCCCAGTCTGTAGTGCATGATCTCTAGATTCTTTTCCTAAATTCCATGGCAACATCCAAAAGCCTCCTTCAGACTGACACTTTTACAGAACATGCCACTCTGCTTTTCTGAAAACGCATAGCAAACGCTCCCCACTGAGGTCCTGCTTCCCTGAGGCAGCTTCAGGAAAGCCTGCTTCACTTTGCACTCTTCTGGAAGTCCCTCTGAGGCAAGTGAGAGTAGTACCCAGACTACCATTTCCTCTCCTGTCTCCTACAGCAAACACGAACTGATTTCTCCTGGGATGGCATCAATGTGAGTGCGGCTGCCCCAGCCCTTCCCGGCCCACCCTGACTCCTCTTCCTTGACTCTTCCGGGCCCTCTGTGGGACAGTGCTGTCCAGCTCTAGCAGCACTATATACCCTCACATGCTCCTCTCAATCCCCCAGTTGTCAAGGGTGGTTGGGGCTTCTGCCTCCTGGGGGCTCTTAGCCATAATGGTTTTCCATGTCTCCTGCCCCAATGCATATCTCCTTTCCTGGCAACCATGGACTCTTTTTTATATCTAAGGCACCCCTTACCTTCTTGTCTCTCTGCCCCTCCTTTTACATTCCAGCTCTCCATGGAAGATACCACTTCCATCCTTCCGAAGCTTAAGCGAAACTCTAATGCCTATGGCATTGGGGCCCTGGCCAAGTCATCATTCTCAGGTGAGACTGCCTGGCCTGGGAAGTGCACTCAGACAGGGGAATACTTACAGGCTCAGCCTCATTGCTCCTCAGGCTTGATATGGACCCTCCTCATTCCTACACCCTTGACTTGTCTGCCCTTACTGTCAATCCTTTCCCATCCTCAAGGCTACTTCTCATATATGGGTCACGGGGGATTCTTGCCCCAGTGGGATGGGATCCTGTGAGACTCAAGGAGGGAGGATGGCAGGAAGTTGTGGATATTGTGTGATATTTGGGAGGATGTGGGAAATGTCTGGCCCCTCAGGGATCTCAAGAAGCATGAAGGACCATGTGACAAAGCCGACTGCCATGGGACAAGGACGAGTGGCTCACATGATTGAGTGGCAGGGTTGGGGGAAGACCCCGACCATTCAGCCACAACACAGCCACGAGGCAGTGCGCAGGGATACAGATGCCTACTCGGACCTCAGCGACGGCGAGAAGGAGGCGCGTTTCCTAGCAGGTACTCTAGCTTGAACCCTCAAGAGATATATTTTTGGGCTGGCCAGAGACTGATCCTTTACCATGCTTCCCTGTGATAGGATGGTCTCTGTGCATATCTTGACTGTAATGTAAAAATTCCAGTAGCTCAACTTGCAAGCATTCCTACTTGTTCATTCTGTAAGTGCCCTCACATCTGTTCTTATAATCTCGGGAAATGAGGGGAACTAGGATTTGTGGGTCCTGTAAAAGTGCTTTCTCTTCTGAATGGCAGGATTGTCCTCTCCCAGCACTCCTTAGTATAGGAGGTAAATGCAGGGACCTTGGGCTTGGAAAGGCTGGACTTCTACTCATTCTTGGAAGTGAAAGAGGCTTCGGGGAATCTCTTCCAGCCTTTGCCAATCAATATTTGGTGTTGCTGATTCACTTTCTGAACTCACCACTTGTGACAGCCACTAGCTGATCAGAGGAACTGGCTTGGAGGTGGTGGTATACGGAAGAAGAGAAGGCAGGAGACATACAATGGCAGGTGTATACAGTACTTAAAAGAGTGACAGACGCCTAGTGGCAAGTATCAGGGAGATGCCTAGGGAAAGGGACAGATTTGGAAAAGTAGGGAGGAATCTTCATTGGTGGTATGGATGGGGGAGGAAATACCCGTGAGGAGGGAAGGCAGATAGCTCAGGGTAGTAGCAGCGTAGGCTTCCGCTTACTCATGGCTTTTGCTAGAACAGTGATGTCCTCCTCCCTTTGCCTTCCAATCCCTTGGACTTTCAACTTTATGTCCCTTTGGACTCACACTGTCTCAGTGCTTCCTTGGGCATTCCTCTGTCGGTCTTGAGAACTACCCCCTGAATTCCTTTCTTCAACCACCTAAGACTAGGTTCAGTTCCCAAAAACCTCCAGTGAAAAGCTTCTTCCAGTTCCTAACTTTAATCCCTTAGGATACCTCCACATAAGCTCCCCTAACCCTTTCTCTGTGACTTGTTCCTTGGTTTGGGGCACACACAAAGGCTCTGCTGTTCAACACGGTAGCTGCTGGCCATGTGTGGCTGTGGAGAATATAAAACGTGGCCAGTCAAAGTAGAGAGGTGCTGTACCTCTAAAATATAAACTGGATGAGAACACTGCACCATATCTGATTCATAATTTTAGATCATTAATATGCTGAGATGATCATCTTTTTGTGTATATCGATCTATGTTAACATAAGGCATTTCACTTGTTTTTACTTTTTATAAATGTGGCTGCTAGAAAATTTAGTAACATAAAGGCCTCCATTCTGTTCCTAATGACCAGCGCTGCCCTGGGGATGTCCCCATGTCTGCATGAGTCCCCAGGAAATCTTGCAACGACTTTGTTTCTTGGTGCAGGTGTCATGGAACAGTTTGCTATTTCTGAGGCCACTCTGATGGCCTGGTCTTCCATGGATGGTGAGGACATGAGTGTCAACTCTGCCCAGGAGCAATCATTGGGCTGCAACTACAGTGACAACTACCAGGAGTTGATGGAGAGTCAGGGTGAGTAATGGCTCCAGAAACCAGCTCCTGGGCCTGCAGAATCTTTTCTCTGTTTTCCTAGGGCTTTCTTCATCCCCTGCTCCATGTGCCTGTGTCTTACCATCTCTTCTCTGTGCTTGTCATGCTTCCCGTGGTGTTCCCATGAATGATGTTCAGACCTTCCCATTCTCTCTACAGACGCCCTAGCCCAAGCGCCCATGGATGGCTGGCCCCACTCCTATGTGTCCCAGGGCATGTACTGTCTGGGGTCATCGGATGCCTGGGAAGCAAGCGACCAGTCCCTTATTGCCTCTCCGGCCACAGGATCCTATCTTGGCCCTGCATTTGGTGACTCACAGCCCAGCCTGCACGACATGGGGCCTTCCCAGCCTGCTTCAGGGTACTCTGCTCAGGAGCCTCCAGCTTTGCTGGGAGGAGAAACTGACTGGGCACCAGGGGGCAGTGGGGTGGACCTGGCCAGAGGCCCTGCTGAGGATGAGAAGAGGCCATTAGCCCCTGAAGAGGAAGAGGATGCTGGATGCCGGGACCTGGAATCTCTTTCCCCGCGAGAAGATCCTGAAATGTCCACTGCTCTCAGCCGGAAGGTGTCTGACGTCACATCCTCAGGTGTGCAGTCCTTTGATGAGGAGGAGGGCGAGGCCAACAACTAGTTTTCTTTCTCCCTTCTCTTACCCGAGGGCATGGCTGCAACCCATACCCTCCCTTGCCTCAAAGCACAGCTGAGCTGGGCAGACGACAGTGGGGAACCTGGGAGCTTCCAGCTCTTACTTGCAAAGTAGAGGACCAATAAGGCATACACTCAAACCACAGGTCCAGAACTGAGACCCAGGCCGCCAGATGGCTGTGGGAGACGAGCTGCAGCTACAGGTTTCTGGGTCTGTCCCGTGAGCGTCGTCGTGGGGACAGCAGGGCAGAGTGACCATGTTGGAGACTGGATCTTATTTCTACACTCCCTGATTTCATCTTCCAGGAGCCTTGGCTGTGCTGTTTGAATGCCTCCTTTTTCCATTTCACAACTGCTTTTCCTGACTCTGTTTTCTCTGGCTTGAGGAGCAGACCTCAGGAGCTGTTGGAAGTAGCTTGAGGTGCACAGTGGAGTGGCCTGAAAGGCATGTTTGTGTCCAGGTGGATGGACCGTCTGCCCTCTGTGGGGAATTTGGCTCCTGATCACAGGAGCTGGACCTGACAGCTGGGGGCCATGCAGATTCTTTATCTCAAGGTCTGCCCAGAGACAAGGAGGTCACTAGCGAGACCAAGAACAAATGTGGCTCCTTGTTCTGGGCTCTTGAACATCCTGGCTGCAAGGAGAATTCTAAAGAGCAGAGAAAAGACTCACCTGGGGCTGGCTGCTTCCGCTCTGGCTTCCCTTCTGCCTTCTTCTTCCATCCTGCTCTGGGAGCCCAGCCCTGAGGAGGGGGAACAGATGCCAGTCTCAAGATACGCTGACACAGGAGGCAGTGTCCCTACCAGTGGGGGGAGCATGAGGGCTGGGTCTCCCCCTGACCACCCCTAATTCTCTGGAGCTGTTTACACTTTTCTCTTTGCCTTTTCTACATTTTTATAACTTCTTGGGGACTCAGGGTTGAGCAGGGTGGAGGGAGGATTCCGGTGCTGTCTTTGCCCCGGCTGGGCTGGGCTGGTGGCCGTGGGCCAGGGTGGGCTCTGGCTCCTTCTGCCCCTTTGTTAGCTCTTCCCAGGACTCCCGAGATGGCCTCCCAGGTGTCCTGCATCTGTCCCCAGGCCACCTGCTGGAGGAAGAGGGGAGAACCAGTGCATTCTTCCTTCCTGGACAAGTTTGCCAGGAGGCACAGGTTGCCCAGTCGTGCTGTCTCCGCTCGGCTTTGAAATGAAACATGGGGTCATGGAGCAGCAAGCAAGCCCAGCATGTACTTGAGGGTTGGGAGCAGGACTGGAGTAAAGCTGGGGAGCACCTCACCCCTACCACTGCCTGCACCAGCCCCTGGCATGGGTGCAGTGTGAGTTGAAGAAGCTCCTTGCCCTGTTCCCTCTTTCCTCATGCTCCTCTAAGCTCCTGCTCCTGCTCCAAGGCCTGAGTCCTACTCCACTCTGTCAGGGTCCTATTACTTGATCCTCTGCCACCACGGGAGCACTGTTGTCCTCTCCCAAGCCCTGGGTGCAAGCTACACCCCCACACTGGCTTTGGAATGAGCGGGTGGAGAGTTAGGGTGCTTCTGTTCATCTGTGACCCTGCCCCTCAGCAAGTTCGTACTCTCCCATGCTCAGGAGGTGCTGCAGGGCAGTGATCTGGGTTCAGGAAGGGTGTGGCTGGCTATCCTGAGGTTGGCTGTTGTAGGAAACAAGAGAAGGTGTGATGAGCCAAGGTAGGTGGACAGTCCTTGACTTGATCTGCACTACCTGAATGGGAGAAGATACCTCTGGGTTTTTTTCACGTGTTTTTACTCAACATACCGACACTTTACTTCAAGGAAGTTTGGGGAGGGCCAGTGTACCAACTTGGCTGCTGGCCCTGACTCTAGAACTCCTGCCCTGGGCCCCTGGGGTTTTGCATGCTTACTCTACCTTTCTGCCACTGGCTCCCTTTCCTCACCTTGCCCATTCTCTCAGTGCATCACTCCTTTCTGTCTCTCCCCCAATGCCCTCAGGTCTTAGTGGACTGCATCCAGGGAGTAGGTTCATTCATTACAGTTCCTTTGTGCTCAGGGCCCTGAGGAGTTGGGACAGGTAGACTAAAGCAGTTTTCTTTCCTTCCTTCCTTTCCCAAGAAAGCCAAATGGTCCCTGGTGAGAGATGGCTAAAGATCAGAAGGCACCTGGTAGGGTTCTCACAGAACAGGGACTGGGTGTCCTGAAGCTGCTGGCACTTGCCTGTGAGGTGGGGGATGTCTGCCTTTGGCTAGAAACCCTGCCCCATTCTGAAGAGGAAAACAGGTGTTGGGGGACAGCTATGAACTCTGGCAGAGGAACTGCCTCTGGTCTTGGGGCAGGATGCATGGGGACTGCTTTTAACCTATTATAGGGGGGTGGGAGGGGCATGTGCAGGAAGAAGCTATTGGGCGGTGGGGAAGGGTTGCTTTTCCTTTGGGGTTAAAGGCTGTGCAGCACGTTTTACAGCAGCTCCGGAGCAGGGCTGTTTTATCTTCTTGTGAATGAAACTGCTCTTGCTCAATGATTTTTTAGGGGGGGGTGCACTTTCATTTTCAATCAACTTTATTAAATGGAAATCCAAACCTTCCATTCCTCCTCTTCCACTGACCCTCTACCACCCCCACCTTTCTTACCCTTGTCTTGAGGAGGGATCTTGGGGAGTGAGTTTATTATCATCTTTGCCCACCCCCATATGCCTCTCATTCCATCTTCCAGCTCTGAGAAATTCCCATTTTTATGGCCAGTCTTCGCATGTTTTCTTAATGTGATATTCCCACCCCAGGCCTGAGAGAGATTCTATGACATATATTACAGAGAGAATTGTATAAATATATATAAATACTATAGATTATATACACATGGGCATGGGCTTGATGCCCTCTGCCAACCCCCCTACCCAGGCCTTGGCATCTCTCTCTCTTGGCCTGGGGAGGTGGAAGGGATGCGATGCTGGGGAGGACCAGAGGCTGTGTTCAGTGACACTAAACAGAATGTGGTGGCATCCTCTGACTGTGAGTGTCTTATTTGGGGGATGGAGGAGCTGGGCACAGGGGAGGGGCAGGAGAATGCTGAAAAGAGAATAGGAAGTAAACAAGGCATGCAGGGAGGGCAGGAAAAAAGCATGGGGTTTGGAGCCAGTGCTTCTGGATTCTCAGAGCCCCAGTGTCCCTTAGCATGGGAGGCAGCTAACGCCATGCACCACAGCCTGCTGCCCACTGGGGAGCTCAAGGGTGGAACTGCCCCAAGCATGGGAAGCAGTAAAAACGCCAGCGATCCGGAGGGGTCCCCTCCAAGACTCCACCCTGGAAGAACCAGAGGATCCTATCTAAGAGGGGTTGCAGGCTGGAAAGACGCCAGGGCACAGTGACCCTTGGTAGGACAGATCAGTTGCAGCAGCAGGATAGGGAAGATGTATTTCTAGGGGGTAACCTGGAATCAGAGAGTAATGTGAAAGGGGAGACCTCTTTGCCAGGGGGAGTCAGATGATACCATGGGACTGTGATTGTTTGACAATAAGGCACTGCTTCTTCCATGTGGAGGCTTTGGCCACCTTTTCTTTGCCAGGCAGCTGCCCTGGATAGTCTTTGTATCCACAGCTCATGGCTTGCAGCGGGGGACAAAGGAGGGGGATGTGGTTGGCCTTAAATAGCCCTGGCATGAAGATGGGTAATAGCAGGCAGAATAGGACCTGGGGGCAGACCATGCGCTGGTGGGAGCTGGGGGCTCCCAGAGAAGCATGGATCGGAGGCATATTCTGAGGTGACCAGTCTGCAAGGCTTAGAGGTGGTCCCATCCCCCCTCCACTGTCATTCTGGACCTCTCCTATCTGCCCCCTGTAGGAAGTAAAGGACACACAAGGACAGCAAACACTGGCACAAGAGCACTGGGCAATTGTGGGCCTTGAGGGGAAGTGAGCACCCCATCTATACAACAAGAAAACTCAGGAGGCCCCATGGATTATCAGGACCCCTTGGGGGTTACAACCACCTGCCTGCCTGGGATTTGGGAAGCTGTCTAAATAACTGAAATTCCTTCCTCCCTAAATTTTGACTCCATCTTTAAGATTATTCTTAACACATTTAAAAATTCCCAGGAGGTACGACCACCCCAATTTCAGGACCCCAATCCTACACAATTCCATCCTTTGTGATGGGCCTCTAAACATTCTTTATGAGGAGGATCCAGAGTTGGTCAAAGGATCAGTTCATCCTCATCATCCTCTTCATCAGTGGATCGAAGACTGGGGCCCTGAAGGATGTCAGCCAGCTCCTCTTCAGGCCCTGGACTCTCCACTAACTCCAGCTCCTCCAGCTCACCCCCTGCTGTAGCGGGGGCCAGGGGCTGAGGGGGACCTGGGGATGGGGGTGGCACCGGTGTCTCCGGGGATGCAGGGGTCAGGTCTTCTGCTCCAAGATGGCCTCCAGCTTCCTCAGGCAGGCTCCAGCCTTCTGCAGGAGGAGCTGGGCCCCCAGGGCTCTTTCGAGAGGTCGAGGTGGTTGTGTTCCTGAAGCTGGCGAGGGGAGGGCGGAGCTGCACTCCAGATTTGGTGTGACCCTCAATAGCTTTCTGTAGCTGGGAAGGGTTGGGAGGAGGAGAGAGGTACAAAATGGGAAAAAGAAAAAAAAAACATGGGGACAAAAAACAGACAAGAAAGAAGAAAAGAGGGATGGGAAAGGGATAGGCAAGAAAGATAAAATCAGAGAGAGATAATAGAGAATGGTCAAAGGAAGAGAACAGGAAGAAAAAGAGACAAGGGCATGACAGAAACTTATACCTGCATAACAGTGGGGGCCCCGTGTACCCCTTCCCTCCTCATGACCTCCACTTCCCCATGAGGGCCCAGGTGCACATTCCTGTGACTTTCCCAGAACCCCATCCTCAGCCTGTGCCACATTGGGTGGACAACTGTGTCCCTTTCAGGACTATGACCATAAAGGCATTGCAGTCTACATTCTCTGCAGGGTCCCACCTCCCCGATCTCTATGTAAGAAATACAAAGGGGAACCTGTTCCTTCCCATGCCCCCTTCTTGTACTGTGCCCATCTCTTCTCCAGCAGGCTCCCTATCCTTGTTACCTCCTCCAGCGCCAGGACGCCCCTGAGTTTCCCCATGCTGGTCACATAAGCCAGGTGGAGGCCAAGGAGTGAGAAGAGCGTGTGTGTCTGATGGGAAGAGCACAGGTAAGCACGTGTCCCACGCCATCCCTGCCCTCCCGGCAGCCCTCAGCAGCCAGCTAGTCTCGCCTTGTGCAGAGTGGTCTGCTCCACCAGCTGGAAGGGAGACGGGTCGATACAGCAGCAATCAAAGCAGACAGGCTGGCTCAGCTGCGCCTGCTCCCAGGCCTCGATCTGCAGGGCGGGTGGGAAAGTCACCAGTATCACAGAGGCCCTCTAAACAGTGTGCTCTTCCAATCTACAGACTGTCACAGATCCACCTGCCCCAAGTGCTCCCTGTCTTGCCACAGATGGCTCCTCCCCTACCCTCCCTCGTTAGATTCCAAATCCATCTTCACCCTCAGGCACCCAGAACATGCTCCCTCGCTTCCTAAGTCTTACACCCTTGGAACCCCCAAACATTTACTTCCTATGTATCCTTCCAACCTTATTTTCCTCTACTCCTGTAGACCTGCTTCTCCGGTTAGACTAGACTGCTTTCTGCTCTGTCGTCTTTATTGTTCTTTCTACCGGGGCTTCCTGTGCCTGTTCCATTTCCCTACTGTGTGACTTTCCTGATGCGCCCAGTTAGACAGGCTTTCCCTCTTTTTTTAAAATTCCTATGTACTTTGGAGGTCTTTCCTTCTCAGAAATGACACTGCGCATGCTCAACCACATATGGTATCGGCCTTACCTCTGTGCACAGGAAGTGACCTCCTCGGGGTGCTGTGCATTATGAGGTAACTAGTACTGCCACCTCTTAGGAAGAAAAGCTCAGGGAACAGTTGCAGATTTGAGTAGACTTACTGAATAACATGGACTTAGTTGACTTCAGCAAAGCCATTTGGGGTTTGTTTTTGTCTCTCAGTCAATGAAGAAAGCATTAAGGTACATAGGCCAGCTGTTCCCTTGACTTGAGATAAGCAAATGGAAATCCCCACAATTCCAAAGAAGCCCTTATGCCTCTGGATTTCATAACTTAGTCTAACATTTTTCTCAAATTGTTCTTTGGTTAGCACCTTCCGAGTGATGCAGTACTTTAATTTACTTTTTTGTTTGTCCAGTTCTACATCTTTGAGATTCAGAGACTATGGACAAAGTCTGTCCCCTCATTCTGGGGGTGAGGGTGTGGTCCACAAGAAGGCTCCCTCCATCTCTCTTTTCCTAATATTTTTGGACCCCATCACAGCTCCTTTAAACTCAATCTGCTGACTAAAGGTTCATACTGGGATTCACCAGGCCTTTGTGTTGGTCCATTCTACAACTATTTCCGACCTCTCAGCTTCCATTTTTGCTTGTTCCTTAGGAGCAACAGGAGCTGTAGCAGCATTTTCAGTAAACTTTTTATTTTTGTCTTTTGAAGACAGGGTCTTGCTATGCAGTTCAGGCTGGCCTTGAACTCACGTTGGAGCCCAGGGTGGTCTCAAATTTGCAACAATCCTCCTCCTCAGTCTCTTGAATGCTGGGATTGCATGTATGTAACACTATGCTTCTAAACATTTACCAAGCACTTCCTCTGTGCAGAGCTTGGCTCTAACTTCTTTACATGTCTTAGCTGCTAGCATCTTCCCAACAACTCTATCTTCATCTTCACTTTACAGATGAGGAAGCAGAGGTGCACCATGTTATAGTCTTCCCAGGACTCCACAGGCCATGACCAGTGGAACTGGGTATCTGGCTTTGTGGGTTAACCATGTTTCGGGTTCAGCCTCAACTTGTGTAAGGCGAGAAGATACTGCTGTTGGATCTTGTAAAAAGCTCAGCACCAATTAGAAGCCAGAGTTCTAACTGTGGCTATTCTGAACAGAATATACAGAATTAAACAAATTATAGCAAGGACTTGGGAGAGGTTCTTTCAGTATTGACTTCTTTCCATGCTATACTGCCCATACTGTTTTTATCAATACCAACATCTTAGTTGACATCAAGTTGTCATCTGATCTGAGGTGAGCACTATGCTCAAAATATCCTGAATTTTGACTCCTATTAAATATTATCCCTTCAGAATAGCTCCATGGGTCACATGAGAGTTGGTAGAGCCTTAAAGTCTTTCTTATATAGAAATATAAAATTTCTCTTCTTTTTATACTTAGCTGCACTTTGTGTCTTGATTGAAATGTCCCATCAGTGGCACAAAGGACTAAGGAACATGCGGTGAGGAGCTCCACACTGATAAATGAACTGGGTTTCACTTTTTTTTGGTGCATGTTAAATAAAATAGATATTAACAACTAGACAAAGTATTCCTTTATTGCAGTCTGGTTCATCTGCTTCCTGCTTGTGGCAGAAGAAAAGGCTCTTTTTTTCCCCGCCTGTGGGACCATCTATCTGGCTCTTCCATAAGTCATTTATGAATGGACGGCAAGGGAGAGAGTACCATTTCTTCCTTCCTTTCCACTGTAAGTCCCTCCTCTGAGCTGGTAGCATTTTGAGTCTTCGGTACATATTTATTCTGGATGTTCAATAAGATATTTATTTTAAAATAGTATTCGCCATGGCTTTTTGTCAGCTACGTACTCTAAAAGTGCTCTCTTTGCAGCCAACTTGCATTCCCTCTAGTACGTACAATAGTTGCTAATGGATTTTCTCTGTTCCTCCATGACCCCTGGGGCCTGTTCTGATTGGGCTCTCAATCACTGTTCCATATTCCGTCCACTCTTCACATCCAAGCACATTCAGGATTTGATTTTTCTCTCATGGATTTGATAATGGCTTCTGTTAAGAAAGAGGCATCTGCCTCCATGAGACAACACTGTCATTATTTGCCTCACATTTGTAGCTCTTCAAAATCTCAGGACAAACATCTTCCAGGGGTACAATGTCCTAGGGCTTGATGGGTCCACCAGGGCAGGTTTCCCATTAAGAATTTTGATGTGATTCTCTCCCTTGTTATGTTTTAGGGCTGGTTCTGCTGCCAGTAAATCCCATCCTTCTTGTATAGCCTCTCCCTAGTCTGGATCTTCCATTTCCAGGTCTAGGGTACAATGGTCCTATCTACTCATGAACTGTCCCCTTCTGCAAGGACCCTGTCCCTCTGAGAACATAGTGCATCCCATTACATGCTCATGACTTTCTCCAACTTTGCAAAATATTTCCCCATCTACGTTTAAAATTTTTTTTTCCTGGGGATAGAACCCAGGACCTTGCATGCAAAGCCACATCCCTAACCTTTACATTTAACCATTATAATAACAAAATAGAGAAAGTAGGAAAAATAGCAATAACTTCATCGGATTAAACAATCCATCTGAAGAGCTGTTTCTCTTACTTACCTCTTCCGGTGACATGTTATCCACTAACTCTGTCGAATCCTAGAGAAGAAAGACACAGAATCAAGTTCTTTCCTTTTTCTCTCATGCTAGCTACCTTCCCATCTCTCTCTGGCCAGCACCACAAGAGTCTTCTTCCCAAGCCACCATCCTTGGCAGGATCTCTGCTTTCCGTTAAAGACCATAATTTCTCACTCCTCAAAAGTGAGCCTCCTGGTTCCTCTTTAAGCACATCCCTCACCTGAGTTGGTTTTTTCTTTGGAGGCCGAGTTCTGCCCAGCAAGCAGCGCAGCAGGCACTGAAAGACGGAGGATCTTTGACCTGAAAGGAGTGGAGGAAGTGGCCAGGAGCTTCCCAGAGACTTTGCCCTCAAAGAAGTGCACTTCCCAGCGGACACCTCTCCACTACCTCTGCTCCCTGTAACCTAGGATAGCAAGGTGGAGAATCTACCAAAGAAAGTCCCTGCACCCCACCTCCTAGTCTTACAGGTGGGTGGAGAAGGCACAGGGGTAACCCCCGAGGCATGCAGGGAGATCTTCACCTGCAGGTTCTGGGCCTTCAGGTGACTGTTTGTGGCTGGGCAGGGGCCCATTGGGCTCCTCAGAGGACGATGGGGCACTAGGACAGGGTGGTGGTGGAGGTGGAGGCAGCTGAAAGAAACAGCACAAGTTCTTGGTGTCAGGGGAAAAGTTGCTTGAAGCTTCACTCCCTCACCAGTTGTCATCCTAACTCTATTGCTCCAGGGCTCAGAATGCCTAAATTCCTCTTGATTCTGATAGATACACATCTTGACGTTATCTCCTTAAGTGGCTGGCTAGACTCTGAGGCACTGGCCTTTCTGGCACCGGATCCAGAACTGTGTCGTGTTCTCTCACCACCATGTTCCTTCCCTCTTGGTAGTTTCCCTGCACCGGTGGCCCACCAGCCTAGCCACCGTCAACAGATGTCGCTGGCGCCCCCTGCCGACGCCCCCCCCCCTCCGGCTCCCTAGTCCTTCCAGGCTCTGTAACCTCGGTCTTGCCGGAGAGGTCCTCATCTTCATCCTCATCCACAAAGGCAAAGGACTCAGGCCGGCCCCTTGGCGCACTGCCCGGGAGCGCGTCCCCCGCCAGCCGTGCCTTGCCGTCGTAGGGCAGCTCGGACATCATCCGCGCCAGGTCCTGGACTGCCCGTAACCTCCGCTCGGGACACAGGTGGCGCTGCAGAAGGGATTGCAGCTCTGAGCGCTCCACGGAGCCCAGCAGGATCATGGAATCTGGGGGAAATTCACCACGCTCAACCCGAGTGCTGCCCACACCCTGCCACGCCCCTGCACCGTAAGCGCAGCTGACGCCCAGAGCACCTCCCTTTTGTAGCGCTTGCCCTCTTCCCAAAAAAGCATTTCAAAAATCCTTCGGGGGTAACTTCCCTGACTCTCTTTTACGTCAGCCATTCAGCACTTACAGACCCAACTGGTAGCACACGGATTGATGCTAAAGTGTACTTATTTGTATTGCTATTTGGATTAAAGTAGGCTGATCAATGCTGTCCACAGAGAACACAACAAGAAATGCCACTCACATAGGCTGAGACGTGAACACATTTTGGAAGAAGTCTACCAGCAAGGTAAGCTTCCTGTCTTTTACTGGAGGAGGAAAAAATGGGTCCATCTTTCACATCTGACGTTTCACCACGTCAAGAACCTGAGTCCTTCTGGGCTGTAAACAACATGCCTATTTTTCCTGGGACGATCTTGTGTATGTTTATAAAAATCCTGCTACGATGATCAACATATTCATTAAGTTTTACACTGGAATGGCAGCAACATCATTGCAATCAATGTTCCTAAGTCAGCCATTATTATGAACGTCATGTACCTCATCATCAGTAGCTTGCTTCAGCAAAGAGCCACTGTGGAAAGCACTTAAAAGGTGTCCGAGCTTATAGGAAATATTTGAGTTAATATAATTTGAAAATTTTAGATGCTCTGATTATCCAATATCAGAACTGGCAATCTTTTTTTTTTTTTTTTTTTTTTTTTTTTTTGTCTTTTTCATTTTTATTGGTACCGGGGATCGAACTCACAACCGCCTGCTTGTAAGGTAAGTACTTATGCCGCTGAGCTAAATCCCCAGCCCCAGAACTGGCAATCTTAATGCCTCCTGGTAATGCTACATGATTTTTATCTATTGCACTAATTTGAACACTAGAGAAATATTTACTGACTATCCAGTAAATACTTAGAACAAAACGCTCTGGTAATATAGACGTTATTGTCTATACCGTCAAGGAATACCAGAAAATAAGACATACGTGTACAAAACACAGGAAGAAATAATAAAAAGCAGGATGAAGCGCTGGAGGTGGGCAGGAAGAATAAAGAGAGAGAGAAATGAAAAATCATCCTTTACTCAGATCTTTTATAGGGAGCAGTTTCCTGTCTTGAAGTTGGGTCCCGGGAACAGGTGTGATTTAGTTAAGTAGTAAAGGACCATGAGATTTATAGCTGATCCTTATTACTTATGCATTCCCTATTTGTGAACTCATCTTTTCACTAAAATACACATTCATAACCCAATATCAATACCACAGGGGCTTTTGGTGTAATTCACAGACATGTACAAAGTCACAAAAAAACTGAGTTGCCTGACACTCGTGTTCCCAGCTGGAATGGAACATAACAGTGCCCAGCCTTCTCATTCCAGCTTGAGTACTGTGAAAGAGGGTTCTTTTTGCAGCGTATTTAATGCTAGGCTTTTCATATCTCTGTGCTTTGTGTTGGTGAATTTGCTGTTTAAAACAGTCTCAAACATAATAATACAGTGCTGCCTGGTGTTCCTGAGCATAAAGAGACTGCGATGTAGTTTACTGAGAAAATATGTGTGGTAAGTAAGCTCCATTCAGGAATGATGACAGTGGCATTGGCTGTAAGTTCTGTGTTAATATTTCAGCAGTATCTATGGAATAAAGCATGTTAAAGAGAAACATACATAAATCAGGTCATGTATTGGTTAATTGACAAAAATGGTGTGACCAGAGGCTTGGTCCCTATTTTTCCTCTAAAAGTAATTGTTCAGCAGTATCCAGTAATTTCATATTCATGGTGGCTTTATGGAACACAGCTGCCTTGAATACTGAAAATCAATTGTGTTTCTTTATTGGATTTTTCACTATTTTCTTGTGCATGTGATAGATCTGCCTTTTTCCTTCCTTGAGGAACATCATATCCCTGAAGAGTACAGAATAGGCCTCCTGAAGCAGGTTTGATGGTCCCTAAAAACAAGCCCCATCAGTGTCCTGTAGCTCTCTGAAACTCTGTTGAGGTCAGCAGCTCAGGAATCGATTTCCTTCCCACTGACCTTTTGAATCAACCAGTGGTAGAGTCTTGACTGTGGTGGTCTGGAGCAGGTTTCGCAGTTCTCCGTATGTGCATGAAGCTGAAACAAACTTCACATCACGTACCATGATGTCCTCAACAAAGATTGTAAATTTGCTGTGGAGGGAGGAAACACAGTGAGTTAGCCCCACCATATGCCTGGGCCTTTGCTGTTCTTTTCATTCCTCTCAATGAGATTGGATGTGCATTTTCACAGAATTTATCGTGTACCCCATGGAAATAAGAAACTAATGCAAAGCCAGTGCTTCCCAACATTGATCCTGACCTCAGTCTCAGCCTCAGAACCTCCCATCCCCCAGGAAGCCTGAGATAATTCCTACTAATGCCCCTGACCTGAGCTGGTTCCAACCAAGGTCAGGCAAGTAGGGTAGCTTCTTGACCTGGATGATACTGTCATACAGGGAAGGCTGCAGGCTCTGAGCTACCATGTTGGCCAAGATAACAGCCACCATCATAGGTAGGATGTGAGCAATCTGACCCGTTAATTCGAAGCAAATCACAGCTGTGGAGACTGTATGGGACACGGCCCCCGTCAGGGCGGCTGCTCCTAGAATGACACAGAAATATGTCCAGAGGTTAGAGCTGCTTTCCTGGCCTGAAGGATATACACAGAAGTCGTAGGAAAAACACAGAATGGGAAGCAGTGCCTTGGTCAGGAACTATACTTCTAAAATCAAGACTAGGGGCTACAATGCTGACCTGCTAGAAAATTATGTTTTTGATTCTCTTCTATAATATTTAGTAAATCACAAAATCTTTGCTTATGGCAAAATGCTGTTTTATAACATGAAGATAGTGATGCCTTATCCAATCTTTGCTTTTAAAAGTTTGTATGATTCTTAATTGAGCATTTTAAAACCCCACTATGTCGTATTATTTTGAGCCTTAAGTGCTGATGCTGACAATTAATGAATGAATAAAGAGAAAACCCAAGAACTGTGCTGCGAAATTGGAGAGACGAGACCTGCATCAGTTCTTGAGTCTGTGTTTCAACTATATAAGTAGAATTCAATTGCTTTGGAATCCCTGCTCTATGGACCAAAGGGGTCATTAAATGAATTCTAAAATCCTTGCAGATCTAACAGTTTATGATTCTATAACCTCAATGAAGATAGAATCTATCTTGTTTATTTTTCAGTTACTTTCGCACCAACCCAAACATGAGGTAGACAGCCTGTGGGAAAAATACTGGAGCAGGCATATGTGAAAATGTAATGAGAAAAAGTCACAAAAGGAAAATATTGAGAGGAATGATGCCACTGAACGGTATGTATAAAATAACTCAGAACATTCCAACCAAAGAAACACAACTGATTTTCAGTATTCAATCCTGGGGTGTGTATACAGGGACACAGAGACCAGGAAAGATGTGGATGACACCTGAGAGGTATGAAGCAGGAGAGTAGGAGTAGATGCGAGCTGCTGATGGCAGGTTTTATAAAGGAAGCATGATGGGGGTGAGTGCCCTTTGGGTTACACAGCTGGTTTACTGGTTCTCATCCAGGGGAAGGTGAGATGTTATGGGATTTTGGCAAGGATGGGAAACAGGGAGGGGGCATAGTAATTCTGGGGACTCCCATGGTCAGTTTTAGAATAACCTTATTTCAGGGAGTCATGTTAGAATAAAGAAACTAAGGCTCAGAATAACAGCTGGCTTGCTCCATGGTCATCCAGGCAACAAGTGGCAGGGAAACCCACAGCTCATGTCTGTCAGCTCCTACACCTGTGTTTAGTCCCCAACAATATCAGTACATCTCAGGTTAAGCACACCTGAGCAGTTGCCTGCACTGTGGGGCCCACGATTCTCAAGAAGGAGAGGAAAACCCTTACTAGACACTCAGACACTGTCTGAGGTGCTTTCAGCCTTCCCTCCTCATGTAATATCCCTGTTACCAATTTTCCCTTGCGGAAACCAAAGTTCAAAGAAGTAGAGTGAGAGATCACAAGAGTCAGAGCAATGGGTCGAGTATTTGAATGAGAGGTGATTTAAGCAGCATTAAATTAAAACCATACTGTGTATTCTGGATTGAAGATGTACTGGGAGACTTTGATTGTGGGGATTCAGGATTCTCCAAGATTGGTCACTGGAAGGTGGGAATGTGTCTCACCAATTACTGCATAGCCCCCAGGGAGAATTTTGTAGATGATGTCATCAAATAAGATACCATCTGGGAATAGCATGGCCATGATTTCTCCCACAAGCCTTCCAAATGCAGCTCCTAGATGGGAACGAAAGAAAAGTCCTGTGAGATCCAAGTTCTTCATTCTCTGTTTTCAAGCTAATGTCTCTTAAGACCAAATGCAAATTCCCAGTATCTCAGGTATCTGCTTGTCCCTCAGTAGCTTAGATTGCAGCGACCAATAAGACACCACCAGAACTTACCTAGCACAAACACAGGCATGAAGCCTCCACAGGGTATGGGCATAGTGGTGGCCACAATGGACATCCAAAACTAGGGTGGAGAAAAAGTATTAGAACATTCTTTACTCTGCTCAGCAAGCACCAGTGCACTCCCTTCTCGCTGTCCTCCTCCTTCCCTCTTCTGGTGTCATCACAGAAATCCCAGGATAGCTAATCCTTCTGGAAGTCATCCTCTCTCCCTTTCTTCAGAACCAAAAAACTTGGCATTCTCAGAGATCATCGAAGACAACAGGATAAGAGAGCCTAACCCAAATCTCTCCTACTTTGGATGACTGTGTTTTCCTTTTGGCACACTCTAGAAAAAGGAATAGAGCCCCAAAAGATCCTTCTTTCACTGCCCTGAGAGGACCCCAACCCACTGTCTTTCCTTAGCCCAGGAAGTTTTCTGCTAGACAGTAGCCCAAAACTTTTAAAGCCAGAAGAGTCCTTTCCTTGGTAATGTTTTCGAAAATGAGCCCCCAAGGTCTCCCTGGCAGACACTAAATTCTCAGTGACTTACTGTGACTAGGTTAGCTTTATAAAGCCACCTATGTGTCAGATCTTATGAGGGGAACTTGAAGGAAGAGTGTCTTGCCTGTGTCATTTGCTGTTACATCAAACCATTTTAACCCGAAGATCAAAACTTAGATCTGAGACAAGGAGTGTGACTCAGTGGTAGAGCACCTGCCTGGCATGTGCTTCCATTGCCAGAAGCCTCTCCACACTCAAGTCTGTTCTTAGTGAACTGAAGGGACCAAGTGAGGGCCTGATTAGTCAGCTAATACAATGGAAAATATCTCCAAGGCCAATTTCACCAAGCAGTATCTTAATAGAAATTTAGTTGTAGCACATGCAGGATATACATTATTAGGCAAAGAATGAAAAGAATTGAGAAAGACAATGGAAAAGGAATAGAGGCAGTAGTGATTGAACTTCTGAAATATTTTCCAAAGAAATAAAAGTATGAGACATAACACATAAATGAAGCAGAAGTTTGACATACATATGTACTTCTAAAACAAGTAAGTCCATGTTGGAAAAAGATCTCAAACTAATTAGATACAAGATGGGAAGAGATGTTCAAACAAATTGACAAGATTAAAATATTAAAAGTGTTAAAACTGCTTCAGTTGCACTGCAAACTAATTGGAAATACATTTCTTAATTCTCTAATTCTCCTCAGCCAAGCCTGAACTCACAAGGTAGCAATAAAGATTTTCAGAAAGCTTCATCCCAGAACTACTCAAATAAGGCAAAATGTACTCTCAGAACATACCGCTTTAAAAGAATTAAAGTTGCAAAATTAAATATCCAAGATGAGAATATGGACTGAAATTTGAAGGGAGAAAATGGACTGGCACAATGCCTAGTAAATGTAGATGGGATACAGGAAGGAGGAAGGGAGAGAAGGAAGACGGACCATAGAGTGGTCAAATAGTATTCATGCAAAGCAGAAAAAGCTCCTCGGAGCTAATATTTACTAAAATACCCAACAGTAGCACTTATCCCTAGGAATGTGTTTGAAATGAAGATGACCAGACCCCATAGACGACATGATTCTAGGCACTTGCAGTTTAAGCTTCTTAAGTGATCGTGACATTTAACAGTTTGAGACCCCTTGAACTATTAGGCACCATCTCTTTGTGATAAGTACATAAAAACCATAAGAGATTTGTAGGCTCAAGATAATCTGAAACTGCAGTAGTGCAGATTACAGGTGACCAATGGGTATGATTTCAGAGGAGAAACTGGATTATCTCCAAGATATGCGTGCAAACAGTGAGGATCAAAGGGCATTGAAGTCATCTGCTCCTACAGCACAAAGAATCACACAGGAGATAAGTGAACTCTTTTAGCTATTGTCACCTGAAAGAACAGACTCTGAAGTGATGTGGAAAACAACTCTTAAACACCCAGTTCTAGAAACCTAGGAAACTAGAGGCCAATTATCATAGACTCTAAATAGAGACTTAGGCCCTTCACAAGAGGGATAGATCAGCAGAATGAATTCTATAAAACATCCGGCTGTATTGAGAACTGATGAGATTTGATTGGGTATTAGACTTATTAAAAGGGAAATGGAGAGGATAGAATTGTAAATAGTTTGAGTTACAACACAAGGATACTTGCTATGTCTTGAGATAAAGGAAGACAGGATTTCCCTTCATCGATGTTATAGAAGAGCTGAATTGAGAATCTCACTAGTTTATACTGCCAGAAAACTTCAGGTACTAACTTGTCGGTCTAACTGTGGGAAATGCTAGGAAACAGTAATAAGTAGTAACCTCACATGTTTGTAGCAATAAATGATTTTATGTTTATAAATACTATAGAGTATCATAGACCTGCTGCTAACTGTTAAGACTGAAATGTAGCCCAGGAAGTATGGGTTGTTTTTCTAATACACTTATGATATAAACATTAACAAGTGTATAATTCAGTGAGAAATTAATCATAGCAATATATAGTTGAATCATTCTATATCATCTAAGTAGGGCTTAATCCATGAAGTGGAAGGCAGATACATAACTAGAAATCTCAGAAGGTAGAATGAGGTGAGTGGGGGAATGCATAGTATTTTGTTTCTATAAAACTTTAGACTATTTTTACACTTTAACAGTATGGATGACCCCAGTATTACCATTTGGCTTAGTGTAGAGAAATACAGAAAAACACAGTCCTCATCACTGGAGAACAAAACTACAAATGGGTTTGTAGAGTCAATGCCCAGTATGGGGAGCTAAGATTTATAAATTGAAAAAGATGAAAACTCTACACTAAAAGTCCAGAAATCAAATCCCTAAAAGACATTAAGAATTTCTTTATGAAAAAATGTCAAATATTTTGAAGGTAGAAATAAATAAGGAATAAATTATTGAAGGGAATTGTACAAAATATAGAAAATTTAGATCCAATTTACCAACCTCAAGTGGCTCAGGGAAGAACATAGACAAATATAACTTTTAAGAAAGCCACACTAACCCTGAGCATATAAGTTGAAACCTCATGTGTGAAGCACCTGGTATCTCTACTCGATTAGATAAACATTGCAAAGTACATGAGATGAATAGAAAAAAATCTTTTTACGGCACTGTGGATTGAACTCAGAACCTTCGCACTGAGCTACATCCCCAACCCTTTTTACATGAAGGTCTTGCTAACTTTATAAGCTGCCCAGGCTGGGCTCAAACTTAGGATTCCCTTCCTGAACCTTCCAGAATGGTGAGATTATAGGTGTGAGTTACTATGCCTGGTTTTAAAGTAATTTTTTCAGCTGTAAGCACAAGATTAGACAAAGACAAAAGATCAAGTATTATGTACTTGACACATAAGTGTTTAATAACATTGTTTGAATAAATAAACCCACTGCATTGTAATAATAATATAAATATAACTTAGTGACTCATGCTGGAAAAATGTAGATTCATAAAAGGTACAACAAAGAAGTTAATAGCAAGGTATTCAAAGTCATGAAAGTTCAGTGTGGACAGACATGCATGAGAACTGTAATATACCAAGGAAAGTGTTGGATTACTTAGGCAAGCCATACTATTACCAAAAGAGGAATTACCAAAAAAGTAGAAAAGAAAGGTAATCAGTAATTGTGCAGATGTCACAACCAAGGGTGGAAATAAAAAATGTGTTTGTAAAAGGCAGTAACTGAGAAGGCTATAAATATACAGTTTCTGATAGACAGGTATGAAAAAGAACAGATGTTTTTAAAAAGCCAGTTTTCATTTCCTAACTGAAGTTAGGAAGAAATAGTCTGAGCATGGCGAAATCTTCATAGCCTCACTACCTAGGGGATAATAACATTTACACAAATTACTTAGTCACTAATAAAATAGATTTAAATATTGTCATCTCTTTTGAAATTCCAGAAAAAGAGATTACCCACAGACTGGCAGGGGTGAATGTGTGTGCTAATCACCTAAAAATGAAAAATACATGGAGACTAAAGCACCTAATTACCTAACATGTGGGAGGAACTTGGCTAATTAATTTGAGGTTTTGACACAGTTGTCTATATTGCTAAACTTCGTCTTGCCTTGTTTATGTGGCTGTTGTGATGCCTTAATAAGATAACAAGTGAAACCATTAGAGGGGTTATTATAATTACACTAGCATCACTGAGCTGACATGAATGGAGCAATTAACCCAGATGTGGTTCACATCTAGACACGGGCAACTTATTTATGCCCTGGTTTCCTAGTAACCTTTTTAGGTCAGATACAGACCAGATACATTCCCCTTGCTACCCCATGCAAGTCCTGGGTGGCTTGATTGAAAACAGAGGTTTGGGGGGCCACCGTGGGGCTCCAGTACCTTCATGATAAAGAAGAGAAGGATGATGATGACAACATTGACCCGTGGGTGAATCCACACAGCCGACTGGCCCAGGCTTTTGGGGTCACCCTCGTGTTTTACCCACGTATTGTTGTCAAACAGAGTACTGATGGCTTCCCGGGGCATCAGCTGTTTGGGGAAGAAGCAGAGGGAGCAGGTTCTCTGAGGATCTGTTGTGTTCCCTTTTTTAGAGAACTCATTCCCAACTTCATTATTCAAGAGTCTCTTTTGCGCCTTGCGCAGGGAACCTGAACTGCCCCTTTCCTTCCTGGCTTAGGTGCAGTGTCCTGAACCCCACCCTCAGGTCCCCCTAGAGCTGACCTCTCCAGCCATGAACTGGCCCATTCCTGGTGGGAAGGTGAATGAGGCGATGAGGAAGGTAACAATTCCAGGATACAGCAGGCGGCTGAAAAAGAAACAGAGCCTCTCCCCAGCTGAGCTGGGAACCCCAGTGCTCAACTCTGGTGAGTTGAAGTTTCCGGTAGTCAACCACAGGCACAATTCTTTCAGCACAGAGCACTGTCTTTGCCAAAAAAAATAATCTTTATAGAGAAGCTTTTACATCTTGCCCCCTACTCACAGAGCTCCCTGCTGTTTTAATGCATTCCACCTAAAGGCATTTAATACCTTTCACAAGATTAAAAAGAGAGGAACTCTGAGGCAAACCAGAAAGTAAGTAGGCAGGGCAAGGGACGGGCAGTGACTCACTGCTTAGCAAGAAATTGACTGAGGGCCTTGTGCTTTCGGACACCGAGCATGACTTGGCGATGCAGGTACACAAATACAGCTCCCAGGAACCCACAGCAAATCCTGAGGGTGTAAATTACAGGTCTGGAGGGTTGGGGATTTAGCTCAGCGGCATACGTGCCTGCCTGGCAAGTGCAAGGTCGTGAGTTCAATCCCCGGTACCGCAAAAAAAAAAAAAAAAAAAAAAAAAAAAATTACAGGGCTGGAAACTCACAGACATGAAATTCACTTCCCTCAGACCCAGCGACTACAGAGAAATGCATACCAGCACCCTACCTTCCTTTTCTGTACCACTTCCCTGGCCACCTTACCCACACCCACTTCACCTTCTGTCCAGCTTGGGTCCCTTCCAACCCGCAGCCTCACCCACTCCCTGCTCACCACACCCTCAGCAGGCAGCCCCACTGACCCGATGACAGCGAAGGCTGGGAGTTCCTGTAGGTCAAAGGGGAAGTCCATTCGGAAATTGGTTCGAAATAGAGCTGTGATAGTAACTGCAGGAGGAAAAACAGTGTTGGTGGCAGGGTAGCTTCACAGAAAGTCACGGATAGGGAAAAGAGGTCATCAGTTTCAAACATTCCTTTCCTTCTTCCAATCCTACTTTCTCCTCTTCTCTTTAATTCCTGTCTTTCTATGCACAGGATTGTACCACCCCTGCCCTCCAACTCCTTGACCTAGATTCTGGTCCTACGCCTTGGGTCCCCCTTCCCAAGTGCTGCCATACATTTCTTTTCAGACGTGCCCCCCAGAGCTCCCCTCGTTACCCTTTCTTCACCTCCTCCCTTGGCCTTCCCTGTTACCAGCATCCTTGTTCCACACCGCCAGCACACGGAACACAAAAGCACTGAATGTGGCTGCAAAGAATCCTCGCCAGTAATTCCGCACTGCGAAGTAGGTAGAGGTGACCTCGATGCTAAAGAGCACGCCTAAGGGGTCAGGAAAGCTGGGTCAGGTGCAGTCACTTCCCACCCACCATCACATGGAGCTGAGAAATTTTTGTTGCGACTTGAGTCAGGGGAAGCAGCAGTGGAAAGTATGGTCTCTTGGTCTTTTGTGCTGTAAGGTACATACTACCCAGACTTTTATCTTTTCTTTTTTTAAATCAGGCTGGGTAGTAACATAGGTGGTTCAATAACATAGAAGATGGGAAATGGATGGGTCTTTAACCCCAAAACCCAAAATATAAAGCTTTAGTGGCCATGACCTCCACATCCCTTAGTATGTAGGGTTGACTGAAGTTCACAAGTATAAGGTATCCATGGAGATTTGAAGGAAGTTGAAAATTCTATAGAAAGGTAAAAGAGAGAAAGTTTCCAGAGCAGGTGCTCAACAGACTTGCTATGCAGAGCTCAGAATATGCTGGGATTCTTGGCAACCCCTCCAACCTGGCTACTACCTTCTATGGGGGCAACTTCACTGAGAAGTAAGAAACATGGTACAATACTCAATATTCCATGAAATGAAAGCAGAGGAGTCATCCAAACTTTAAAAACATAGGAAACCATATTTAAAGTATCTAAAGGAAAAGGAGAAACGAAAGCTAGAAGAAGATAAAAGCAATCGTGTTTAAGAAAGGTGGGTGAAAGGAAAGTCAACTAGAAATTCTCACCTACACTGTTTCTGAGAAAAAAAAATGAGGAGAAAGATCTATCACAAAAGGAAGATATGGTGGGAACAGAGACAAGAACACTGAAGTCTCAACAAACAGCATTCAAGAGATGCAAAAACAAACAAACAAAATAATAAGAAAACACCTAGGCATGGGGAGACTGAAGCAGCAGGACCGTTTCAGGTCCAAGGGCAGCCTGGGCTACATAGTGAGTTCAAGGCCAGCCTCAACTACATAGGGAGACCCTGTCTCAACCCCAACACCCCCAACACTAAGACTGAAGGGATTGGATTTTGATTCAGTACAAAGTAAAAGCTGATAATGAAATTATCTAAAACCCGCTGTCATGGTTTATGTTGGTGGCCCCCAGGCCTCATGCATTTGCATTATGCATTTGTGATTGGTTCATTGTCTAGTGCTTGGATTGGGGGTGTGAGTGCTACACTGGCCTAGGGGTGGAGCCAGGATGTGATGTAATGGCGGGAAGAAAGTGTGTCTTGCTCTGTTGCTGGTTTCTGCCTTGGTGTTTGAAGGCGCCATGAACTGTGGCCCAGCCATGCCACCCTGCCTTGGAGCCAACTGAGTATGGACTGAAACCTCCAAAACTGTAGGAAATAAACGTTTCCTTTCCCAACTTTGGGCTTCATGTATTTTGTTTCAGCCACAAGTAAAAAGTAACTAAGACACCCGCCTCAGCTTTTTATCAAAAATAAGGAAGGAGAAACAGGGAAATGTAGCCCCTAATGATAAGCCTTGGCTGCAAGATAAAATAGAAACATGGTGAGATTTGCTACCTTCTTTGTCTCCAAGGTAAACAGCTGTGGGGTTGCCCACAGCCTGCTGCCTGCCTCCTCCTTAAGGAAGCATCTCACTTGCAAGAAAGTTTCTTTCCTTAATTTGCATTCACGAATCACATCTCTAAAATTCCTCCATGCCTCTTTCTACCTTCTCTCCTCCAGGGGACAGTCCACTGTCATTGACATGAGTACCAAGTGGACACTGGCCTGATGGGTACACCTTATGCTGCTGTTGCTAGTGCTAGCAGAGAATTTTCAGTGGCCAGCCCTGATGTCACCTTCTCTGGGAAGCTACTCCCAGTCTTCCTCTTCTGGTAGAAACCCGATCACTTGCCAATTTCAGATCTACTGATCTGGGCACATTTTTGAGTTCCCCCTAAGATAATAAATTACTAGAAACCAACACTGAGTTCATGCCTGGCACAGTCAGTGCCAAGTACATGTTCTAGAGATGAGCAGAGGAAGATGGGAAATGACTAGAGAAAGAAGAAAGAAGAACAAGAGGAGAACAAAATAAGTGGACTATTGAAAATGGAACTCAGCAGGGGAGCCCTGGTTTCCTGGCCAGCTGTCCTGTCCTGCTCTTCAAATCCCACCATGAACACCTTCCTCAAGCCTACAAGAAGGATTTCACCCAATGTGTTTTGCAGGTTTTTCTCCTTTCTTTCTTTCTTTTGCTCTCTCTCTCTCTCTCTCTCTTTTTTTTTTTTTTTTTTTTTTTTTTTTTTTTTTGTGGTACTGGGGGTTGAACTGAGCTATGTCCCTGGCCCTCTTTTTTCTTTTTTTCTTTCTTTTTTTCTTCCTTCCCTTTCCTTTCTTTCTCTCTCTCTTTCTTTCTTCCTTCCTTCCTTTAATTTTTTTTTTTTTTTTGGTATTGGGAATTGAACCTCAGGACCTTACATACTTGCCAGGCAGGTGCTACACCACTAAGCTAAATCCCAAGTCCCCTTTTCTCCTTTCTTGCCCATAATAAAAGTAAAGTTGGCTTTGACTTCCTGGGTAAAACAATCCAACTTCATGAATATTTTACAACAAGTTTTTGAAATCCTAGGCTAGGTTTTCTTTCCCATGAAGTGGATCTGGGACACTTTCCCTCACAGTCTGTCACTCCACGCTCAGGAATGAAAGCTAATTTTAATATTAGCCACAGCCAAACAGAAAATGTGCTGCTAAAAGGAAACAAAGCCTTAAAAACACAAACAGCTTTTGAGAACTCTTGCCTCTTAGGTCTGGAACACTATTCTTCTCCTGTTTCAGCTTCCTCCTCTGATTTCTTGCTGTCTCCTATGTCTCTCTGTCCAACCCAGAGCCTTGTCCTTGGTCTCCTACCATTGTTGCTCAAGGCACACTTTCTCTCTCAGTCTCCCTTATGCCCATGGTGTCAGCAACGCCCACATGCTACTGATCAGCAAGTCTATGTCTTTAGCCCCATTCCTGGGTTTCAGTCTCAGCTATCCATGTATCTGCCACAGAGAACTTCAAACTCAAAGCTCTCAAGGTAAGTAAAATTGATCAACTCTTCCCCAGTCCTGCTTCACTTCCCCTATTCCCCACCCTGGTTACCAGTACCACTGTGCATCCATTGCCTTTGCTGGAAGCTTGAGCTTTAGCCTCGATCCTTCTTTCTCTTATCCCTCCTGTCTTCACATAAAACCAATCAGTAGGCCACAAGGATTTGAATTTATATTGCTCATATTTATCAGTCAGTTTTCAATCTCTTCTGCCTCTGCCTGGCTCAGTTTCTTGTCATCTAGAATCAAGACTATGACAATAGTCTTCTTGTTAATCTTAGATTAATCCTGTTAATCCATAGGCTAGTTCTGTTCTGTGCACATGTGCCAAAGGGATTGGATGGACAAGCAGAGCTGGCTGTGTCACTTCCTTGTTCAAACCCTTTCTGTGGTTTCACTTCACTCACAACAGCATTTTCCAAACTCACGTCCATGCAATACTAAGCTCCCCATGAGACAGTCCCTGCAGAAGGGGGGCCCTGAGAAATGCTGCTTATAACGACATTTTGTGTGCTCATTATTATGTCAGGATATGAGACATTTTGATCACTTTTCTGGTTTTTCAAAAAAACTTTGTTTAACCAAGCATTTTCCCGTGATTTGATGTTGGAACCATTTTTACACGGTACACCTATAACATCACATTGTGTAAAACACACTTGGACAAATCCTATCCTAAAGAGTAAGACCTGCATCTCTCATTTACCTGTCCAGATTTCCTATATCTTTCCTATTTCCTCTTGTAAAACCTACTGTAATGATAACTCCCCAGATCTTTTGATGTTCTCTCTTCTGTCCCAAATTTTCCACCTCAGTGTCTCCTTGAAATTTCCTATTAGGGCCAGGGACTTAGCTCAGTGGCTCAAGTGCTTGCCTGGTAAGTGCAAAGTTGTGAGTTCAATCCCTGGTATAAACAAACAAACAAAAAAAACCTCACAACACAAAAACTGCAAGTTCCTATCAACTCAGCCTCATCTCAAACATTCCTCTTTTGTAAAGCCTTGTGGGCCTCCCAGGAAGCCTGGCAGAAAGTTCCCACTGCACTTTGCTCAGGCTGCCACAGGGCCACTGATGTAGGCTGTGAGAATCCGTTTGTGTGTCTCTCCTAACAGCAACCAACCTGGGAACACAGGACTGAGTACAGCTCTTAGCCCATAACAGCAGCAAATAAACATTTGTCATTCAGTAGAATGCTGAAATATATTTATTTCATCTATGCAAGGAATTAAGAGCTGCTTACACTGCGAATAAATGATCTTCATGCTAATTTCTTCTTTCACAATTATTCTATATTTCTTATAAGTAAATCAAATAATTCTACATACAGGTGCATTTATCTTTGTCTCTTAATGTACAGATAGCCTGAGCAGACACCTTAATTTCCAAGTGTTCAGCAGTTTCTTGTGAGAGAGCAATGTTCTTTCTGTAACTTTCCTCTGGACTCTACTCTCCATGCGACCAAAAAGAACCTTCCTCATGTATCTTAAACATTCCAGTTTTAGGAAGAGAATGCAGATTATGTTTTGCTTTAAAAGAATCTGGCTGGTACAACACAAGCCAACACAACAATGAAATTCTTCTTGACTAAAATTATTCTTTAGACCTTCTGGATTTGGAAGGTTAAAGAGTATATAAAGGCGAATTGTGTATAAATGCAACCATGAACTTTAACTCACGTAGGAATTCACACTGTCCTCCCATGACAGGGACTAATGACTCTTATAAGCTGGTATCAGCAGTGCCATCCAGATACTGGTAGCTCATGTGGTCACTGGGTCTTTGGCTGCCCAGGCACAGTGGTAGCACAGGGTGGCACAATGTGTGTGTTCATTAACTGTGAACTCTGACCCATGTTACTCTAGAGCTGAGGCATTTTAGCTGCCTGGAAGATGTCTCTGTAGAAAGATTGATTACACTATCATTGCTCTAGCAGGTGGTCATTTAAAAAGCATATAGTCTTCCTGCACTTTTGTTCCTTCAATTACCTACTTGGTAAGTTTTTTTAATTACCAATGAATCCAGTGAATGATCCAGATAATTCCTGCCCTGTGATCCTAACTACAATTGATTTTGGTGAATAAATAGAACTGTCTTCTCTGACCAAGTCCATTTCTTACCCATGATAAGAAAAATAATCTAGAAGACCACCATTTGCTTTATCTGCCTTTAAAACTCCCACTGTAAGACTCCCTTTTTAAAGCTCACCAGCAATCTGAGGAAGGTTCATTGAAACACCCATGTTCTATCAAGGAGATCTTTTGCAAAAAGAAAGGGTACCACGAGATGGAGAAAGGGGTTGGGGAAATAGGGTAAGAAAGAGAATGAAAACAGAAGATTGCTACACCCAGGTACCAACTCTCCACAATGAATGTAATCATCACATACCACAATCATGAACTAATAAAAATTGTAGTAATTAAAAAATACAACAAAATGCTAAATTTTTCTCGGTTTCCGGTTATAAAACATACCGCAAGGGGGCCAAAGTAACCAATAATACAAACAGGTTTTAATATAAGCAGGGGAATCCTGAAGACTGGCTTGCTTCTAATTCCTGGCTCCACATCAGAATGGACTTGCTCAGCTCACCTGCCTTCTCAGCAGCTCATTTCTCTCCTCCACAACATCTTGCTCATACAGCTTTCACCGGGAATCAGTGTCAAGTGCTTAGAGCATTCCCAAGCACAGAGCAAAGGCTCACTAGAAGTTCGCTGTTCTTGTTGTAAAGAGAAAATGGCTAAGTCTAGCGCTTGGGGAGGGCAAAACCAGGCAAGTGGGCTAATATTCAAGGGGCACTTGCCTCCAAGTGGTGTTCCAAAGCAGCAGCCGACCCCCACGGCACAGCCCACTGTCAGCATGTCAGTGTAATAGTACGGCTGCTACTAGGGAGAGACAGACAGACAGACAGAAAGACAGGAGAAGGGAAGGGGCAGCGAAGGAGAACAAGCAGGGGTGGGGAATGAGGCGAAGTTAGAGGCCTATGTCTCAGGGAATTACTGTGATACCATTGCCCCTGTGACTCCCAGACCAGGAAAACCTCAGGGAATTTGGCAAACAGGAAGTGACCTTCTAGTTCAAGGCCAACAATAGAAAATGAAATGAAAGCCAAGCAGATAGAAGTCAGGCAGGTAAGATGGCTGGAGATGGACATATCCATGGTGAGAAGTAGCAGTAGCAGAAGAGATAAGTGAGGACTGCAGACATAAAAGTATCAATAAAGGCAGCAGGAAAGAATGGCTGGTCTCAGAAGGACACATAGCCTTCTGTGGAAAAATATCAGTGCATGAGGACTGGGGGGCTGTGATCCACGGTCACTTCCTGCATGCCCACCTGATGGTGAACTCGTCTTCGTCCATCCCAAAGCTATGACAGCCCCCACCTCCCTTCATGTGTGGCTCAGGCAACCAGAGTAGGGAGGAAGTGAAACTTGCCTCCAATAGGGGCCGCAAAGCAGCATCCCACGCCCACTGCGCAGGCCGGCACCAGAAGGTCAAGCTGCCTAGGCAGGGTCTGCAACAGAGAAGCACGCCAGACAGGGGGAGCAGGGTACGCGGGCAGGCAGACGCGCTGGGCAACTGGACAGGACCAAAGGCAGCACAGGAGGTAGGGGAGGGGAACTGACACAGGAGGGTTAGCAGGGAACATGACCCAGGCCACCGTGGCCAGACACAAATCAGACACGGGACTGGCACTGGCTGAATGGAGGTGGGGAATGGGAGTGCGGGTTAGTGCAATGCCCCTGCAGCACCATGGCCAGCTGGAGCAGGCGGCCCTCCCCGGCTTGGCTCCCTGTGCACACGGCGGCTTTTGTCCACCAGCCGTGCCTGCTGCTTTGCCTGGTCTCAACCTTACCTCGTAGACCCCACAAAACACAGCCATGAACTTGCTGAGGATAGCAGCACAGATGCTGGCAATGTGGACAAAAGGGCCCTGGAAGACAGAAGAGAACAAGACAGAGAGAACAGTCTGGAAGGAGGCCTAGAGGCTTCATGAAGCTAATACTTGCAACTGTTGGCCCCAGACAAGCTGCTGGAACTGCTGAAGTTGGACTGGATGATGACTAACCTGTATGCTATCTTTTCAGATAATGCCAACGAAACAAATGAGGGAGAGTGAGGAAAGAAGGACAGGATTGGTGTGGGAGGGTTGGGGACATGTGTTTAGAACAGGTCTAGGGTCTAGGGAGCTCCCCTGGCTATTTAAAACACAAGCTGTGCTTGAGTGCAGTGAGACAGTGAGACGGTGAGACAGGAGGGTGCCAGGGAAAATGTTTTCTACACGGCTGTTAGGGGGACAAGCCTGGCATGGCTGAGAGATGCAAAGAGAGCCCTGAGGCTGGAGCACAATGAAGGCAGCAGTCTGGGAGGCTGGAGGACAACACAGGAGAGGTGGCCCTCAGACCAGGCCATTGTGAGTTCAGATTTTATTTTAAACGGCATGGGAGGCATTTAGGAAGGTCGTGACCAGAGATCAGATGCAGCCTATTCCGCTTTTAAAGATGAGTCCACCTGCTGTGTGGAGTGTGCACCGCAGTGCAGTGGCGAGGGTGCCCAGGGGATGGAGCTGAGAGGGCCTACGGCAGCCACCTGAGGGAAGCTCAGTGTTTCTAGGTCTCTGCTTTTACAAATGAAAACTAGAGGGTTGGTGTAGATTATCACTAAGGCAGTGGTCCACATGGCAGAATTGGGGCCCCTGGGGGATATATGGCAATGTCTGGAGATTGCTGGTGCTCATGACTGGGAGTTACTACTAGGATCTCAGATTAAAGCCCAAGGATGCTGATAATAACCCACAGTGTACAGGACAGCACTCCACCCAAACTCACCCCCTACCCCGTCTCTCTCTCTCTCTCTCTCTCTCTCTCTCTCTCTCTCTCTCTCACACACACACACACACACACACACACACACACACACACACGATGTCTCAGTGCCCACCTCTTTCCCCACAGGGATGCCGCTGCCCAGCCCTGCAGTCAGGGCCACCACCTTTGCCACAAAGGCCTTGAGTGTGAGATATTCCTTCAGGACAACCCCTCGAAGGATCGTCTTCATTTCCGGGATTCCAGAGCCTAAGGGGGTTAAGAAAAGACCATGTGCAGGTTCAGCCTGGAATTAATAGAGAGACGAAAGTGGAACTGAGGACTGCGGAGGGGAGGCCAAAGCAGATGTGACGGGAAGGTGAATGGCAAGGTTCCTAGAGGATTGGAGGTGGGATGGAAGGGTCTTCAGGAAGCAGATTGTGTGAAACTGGCAAAGAAACTCCTTACCAACAGCCTGGGGAGAGATGAGGTGGCAGAAGAGGGCGCTGAAGAGGATGAGGACAAGCGGGAAGGTGACCCAGACCAGGTACTGCAGAGGAAGGCTGGGCTGCGTCTGGGCATAGGTCCACTTGTAGGCTGCAGGGACACACGCTGGGGTCAGTTAGATGGTGGAGGAGGAGCATGCAATGATGGCACTGTCACCACCTACACCAAGCGCACAGAGCCCACCAGCAGACCAGCTGCGCCCACAGGCTGTGGCATCTTGCTGACCTCTCCCTGGGGGAGCCCTGTTACTTCACAGAGGGGAGGTGGTGTGCCTGTTGTGGTTCCCTGCAGTAGAGGTAGCTGGTGACTCTGTAAGTCATGCTTTAATACAAGGTGGTTGCTCCTGGGTAGAGGCCATGGCGTGACCAACCACCCAAGTTGACCAGCATTGGAACTTCAATGCTGAAAATGGTGAGATCCCAGGGAAACTGGAACAAGTGGGTCACCCTATGAGAGGGGCACCCACTGCTTGGGTAATAGCAGGTGGAAGAGGCAAGAGCAGTGGATCTGGGTCTTACTTGAGGCTGAAGATGCAACTGACACCAGTGTCTATGCAGCATCCTCTACCAAAACACATTTAGCTTTTCCTAAGTGGAAACCCCAGAAACAGCCTCTGTGGTATGGAGTAAAGCTCACAGCAGTGGTTCAAGGAGAACATACCCTGAAGGGTTTTGGCACTGACATAGTCCATGCACCAGCTGACCAGAGCCATCAGCAGGCCCAGGAGCACCAGAAAGATCCAGTCTTCCCCTAACTTCCTTCTTACCATACTCTCTAGGCGGTGGATACAACCTAGGAAGAGAAAAGTGTGAAAAAAAAAAAAAGACAGAAGTAGTAGCCAGTTATTACTTTGAGTGATTGGGTGAAGACGGGGGGGAGGGGGGGGAATATTGGGCCACAGGCTATTGTTTAAACATGGTCACCAGATTTGTCTTTATGTCTATGCCACCTGCTGCCCTGTCCTTTCAGAAGACACCACGATCCAGTTCCCAAAAACATGTGAATTCCATTCTATAACTCTTGTTTCTTGGGGGAGTGGGGTCACAATAGGGAACAAGGGAAGATAATATTCAGAGGCAGACTTTATGTGTGTGGGGGCATCTGTGGAATGGAGCACCCAAGTTATTCTCCTAATCCTTGTACCTCCTATTCCAGATTCCTTTATTTCTCAGCCCCCATCACCTTGACATTTAGAATAGTGGTCCTCATCCTTGCTGTCCAAGGTAGAACTGGAGCCCATCTTCTTGGGCATCCTTATATCCTGTTCCTTGTCCAAAAATCGCTCTTTGTGATGGCCATAAATCTGGGCAGAAGGAGAATGATCAAGGTCTGTCTTGATGAAGCATCAAAAAGAATAGACAAAGGGCAGCATGTAGACTCCAGAGACAAGAGGAAGTAACTACTTTGAATCCTGGACACTGAGGGTTGCATGCAAAGCATTTGATGGTCATCCCTTCCCTTTCCTCTCTGCTCTCCAATCTCACATTCCCCACTCTTCCTTCATCCACCCATCTCCACCTTCTTCCCACCCACTCCTCAAACTGTCTTCGTCTTGGTCCATGGTAGCTATCATTAAGGAGCTCAATTTCTACTATGAAGTAGAGACACAAAACTGGGCATCTGTATCAGGTAGGCGTTTTGTGTTGTCACTATGCTGTCTGACTAGTTTTCTAAGACCTATGCCTTGCATGGACACTGCATAAGGATCTTAATGTAGACAGACTGAGTATGGATTACATATCTTTAAATCGATTTTTTTTTTTTTGTCTTTTTCCTTTTTATCGGTACCAGGGATCGAACTCACAACTGCCTGCTTGCAAGACAGGTGCTTATGCCGCTGAGCTAAATCCCCAGTCCCTTAAATCGATTTTTAAAATGTATTTCTTTTGAGGGGCAGATGACTTAGTTGCACTTTGCCTTTGAATAGTTTGCCTCTCTTTAGGCACTGGGTTGTGGATCAAGCTTGGATAAAGCTTGTCTAGCCCATCTTCCAGAGTTTGCCTGCATGAAGAGGAACTGGGCCTGACAAGGAAGTCAATCTACTCCTGAGTCTGGTAATTGGGTCCCACCAACATGCAATGAGGGAGGAGCAGCACCTGTCAGATCTGGAAACCCCCATCCCCCCGACAGGAGCATGTGTGACAAGGGGGGTGTGGAAGAACTCTAGTGACTTTCAGCCTGCCCCACCCCAGTACACTAATTCCATCCTCTGGGGCTGAGGTCAGGCCAGGCCATGTTGCTGATTCTGAGAGCCTGGGCAGAAGAGATCTGATTTCACAATAAAAAGCAGTAGCATTTTATACCTTGACCCCAAATAGGCACAGACTCATTTCTCAGTTCATAGCTGTGTCACCCCTTGAGATGAAGTTAGTGATGGAGGGAGACTTGTTTTCCTCTATGTTTTAGCCAGGACCCATAGATAGAAAACACCCTGAGTAGAGATCAAAGAACTGGGACTGACTCAGTCCCCAAAGTAACTTGCCACTCTTTCCTATGTGACATTTCAGGCTCACTTAACCAGTGAGTGTCTTTGCTGTCAGTAGAACGCACCCTGATCTGTTGTTTCATTGTTCTTTTGAATGACCAGCACCAGTGCAAGAGTGAGCGCAGGGCCGGGGTGGGAGCATCTTTCTGTCCAGCCCCTCACAGTGCCCCACGGTCTGGGTCTCCAAGAAGCCTCTTGGTCTCAGGATTGGTCCTGCATTGAGGTTTATGGCCCATCCTCCAATGAGTTCCCCATGCCATCTTGTACAACTCCCCTTGGGGCTGGGCTACGGCTTGACCCCTGGTGTTATCCCCTGTGTAGTTCACCCCTCAGGTTTTCCACTCAACACCAACAGGACTTAAGGACTCCTGGCAAACAGAAACCCTTTTTAAGTCTGACTTCCTGCCCCTCCAGACACCTTCCATCCTATGGCTCTCCGTATTCTTTGGAGTGAGAACCACACTTTCTTACTATTTGTGGTCTGTAAATTCTCCAAGGCAATCTCACAATCTTTTCTTTCCTCATGCCCACCCTCACTGCTCTTCTGAATGTCCATTCCCCACCCCTGGAGGATACGTATCTCCAGACACTAGCCTGCCAGCTCCTCTGGGACCACATCTCTGCATCTTTCCAAGTGTCTCACACAGAATATATTCTTGCTCCATCTGGCCACTTAAAAGTTTTTGTGTGTGTGTGTGTGGTGCTGGAGGGCAAACGTAGGGCTTCACCAATACTAGGTAAAAAGTGCTGTAGTGCTGATGACATTGTTCTGCTCATTTTGACACTGGCCACTCTGATCACTGATAAGCTATCCACTCTTTGTCCCAACTCTTTGCCTCTTGCTTCTGCAGAGGGGCTTCTGTATGTGTGTGCTCTGTGGGGGCTGCATGGCAGAAACCCTAGGGTGCCTGCTTGTGGCTGAGGGTGTGGGAGGCTCGAAGCACACAGAGCGTGGGCCCCTGTACAAGTCATTCCCGGGAGGTTATGTAAGCACTGGCTCTTCGTGCACATGTGGTTCAGTCAGCTTCCCCAGGACACAGTTATTCTGTTAGTAAAGGGCCTATCAATGTGCATGTGTAGCTCTCCAAATGCACACTTAAGCAAGCCCAGACTTTCTAGTCATTTTTGTCTTTTGAGCACTTTTTAAAAAAAGCTATTAAAAGATACTGTTCTCCTGTCACCGAGCCCCTCACTTTCACCAGTCCCTGCCCTACAGTGTCCCTGTCCACTGCTTCCCTACCCTCAGGACTTTACCTGTGTGGGATAGACGTGCCGGGGACCTGCGTCCTTTCGGGGCCGGTGCTGAAGGCCCCCATTCTCGGAGGGCAGTCCGTAGCTGGTGCAGTGCTCGAAGGGCATGTACTGGTACTGGGGGGCACTTCCCCACCAGCTCTGTTCACCCCCATGCCGCTGGGACTGGGATCGCTCCATGTGTCCTCCCCCAGCCCCGGCTGGGCCTTGGCCTGCCTGCCCCTATCCTCCCCTCGGTGCAGCTCCTTAGGCCTCTGCACTCGCCTGTCCCCAAGGCGTCTGGGGCAGTATGCCCACCTCCAGCTATTTATAGCTGCCTCTCCATCACATGACACCCCCCTCCCGCCACATCTGATCTGCTGGGGTCGAAGCAGGTGTGAGTGCAGTGTGGGGGTGGGGCTGGGATGGGAACCTGTGGGACAGCCCCACAGGGAATTCCCTCCTCGTGCCAGCAGCATTGTCCCCTCCCTTGTCAGTAGTAGTTGTCCAGCTCCCGGTCATCGGTCCCTCTATAAATATCGCCCAGACCAGGATGGGAAAGTGCTTACACTATGCTGTCCACACTGTGTGGCTCCACGTCTCCTTCAGGATGTGGAGGGTGGGGGTGCGGGATGAATTCCTTGAAGGTTTGGAGTCACCAGAAAAGTCACTCACCTGGGAGAGCAAATGGTGCCGCTCTGCCATCTTGACATGCTGGGTTGTCCCCAGGTCCATGTCATTGCAGGGTTTCATCCTCATCTGGATGTGGAGCTTCTGTCGGGCCAGCTCTGCCCAGCCATCCCGTTTCCAGCTTTCTCCTCCAGCTCTCTGCCCTTCTGTCTGCCAGAAGCTGTTAATAACACTTGCCCTTGATCCCACCCTATCAGACACCGGGGTGTGGAGCCCAATGGGATGAGGGGTAACAGCCCTGGGTTCTGGAATCTCATCCACTTCCCACACTCAGGTGTCAGCTGCACTCCCAGTCCAGAACTCCAGGGATGGACTGGACTTCCATGTAGACTTCAGTGGCTTAGATAACTAAGGAGAGAGGGAAGCAGGCTGGGGCAAGGGAAGGTGGTGGGAAAGGGCGTTTGTCACTCGATGAGCCCAATGAATGAAAGATGATGGGGAAGTGATCTCTCCATTCTTCCCCTTTCAAGTCAACAAATTCTTTCCACCAAGGCCAGACTACTCCACCTGCCATGGTGTTTTTTTTTTTTCTCTCTCAATTTCTCCATAAACTCCTCACCATAGAAGAAGAGCTGTAAACTGAGGCAAAGGGAAGTGCAGGGCATCACCAAATGAGGCTTCTTCCCAGGACTCTCCTAGTTCAGGAACTGGAAGGATGGCACAGGAAATGTCTGGTTTACAAAGTAATTCTGAGCTAAGCTAAATGGAATTGTTCAAAGCAAGTGGGACATGGATACCATGAAAAGCAGCTTTTCTAGGTGTTCAACTCATTGATCATCAGGGAAATGCAAATCAGAACCATGGTAAGTTACCATCTCATAACTATTAGGATGGCTACAATCAAAAAGAGAAGCAGTTAAGTGTCCAGGACACAGAGAAAAGAGAACCCTTGTGTATTATGGGTGGGAAGGTAAACTGTCACAGTTCTCATGGAAAGAAGGATGGACATTTATCAAACAATTATAAATAGAACTATGATCCAGCAATACCACTCTGGAATATATACCTAAAGGAAATAAAATCAGTATGCCACTTATATCTGGACTCCCTTGTTCACCATGGCACCATCTACAACAGCCAAGATATGAAAATATCTTAAATGTCTGTCAACAGAAGAACGGCAAAAAAAATGTGGCAGAATATTAGCCATGAAAAAGGAAACCCTACCAGCTGTGACAACATGGATGAATCAGAACATATGCTACATAAAATATGCCAGATATAGGAAGACAAATACTGCATGGTTGTACAGTATATGTAGAAACTAAAGTAGTAGGATTCATTGAAACAGAGTACATGAGTGTTGCTGGGAAACTGACGACAGAGATGTCAATCAAGATACTAGATACCAGGTTTTAGTTACAGAGGTTGAATTAAGTTCTGGAGATTTAATATACATGGTGACTCTCGTTAACAATACTGTGCTGTGTGTCTGAACTTTGCTTAGAGTGACCATTGGAAGTAATGGTTAACCAATTTGTAGTGATCACTTGACAATGCATATTTTTACCAATATATCAAACCGTGACTTATCAGCCTTTCCCACCACCAATCCTGTGAATCTCAAGGTCCATAATACTCCATTCACAAAGATAATGGATGTGTGCTGGTTTGGAGGCTAACGCTTCTGCCACATATAGTATCTGTCTTTCCTGCAGACAGAAACTAAGGAAAAGTCTAAGGTATAAAATGAAAGTAATACTTTCTTAAAAAAATAGAGTGAAAAAGTGAGATGATATGCTTGGAGGGTTTTAAATGATTCTTCACCTGTCTGTGAAGCCCGGCTTTCCTGGAGTTAACCAGTTCACACAGGACTCTTTGAGAAACAGTTATCAGATACAATTATTTCTTCCAAAGTATTTTGTTTTGTTGTGTGTGTGTGTGTGTGTGTGTGTGTGTGTGTGTGTGTGTTTTGCTTTGTTGTTTGTCGGTTTTGAGACAAGGTCTCACTATGCAGCTCAGGCTGGCCATGAGCTCACTTTGTAGCCCAGGCTGGTCTTGATTTACAACGATCCTCCTGCCTCAGCCTCCTGAGTGCTGGGATCACCGGCTTGTGCTACCACACTCAGCTGCCTCCATAATATTGTTAAAAGGCAGGTCCCTAAAACAGAGCAGCATGGGCAGAGACTCAGGCTTGAAAGCAGAGGCCGGAGAAGCTGGGGGAGCCATCATGCCTGGCCAAGCCAAGAGGAAGGATGTGGTCTAGAAGAAAAACACCAACTGCCAATCTAAGAGCCAGATTCCCAAGTCAGGACGATCCAGATCAGCTATAGACTCCTACTGCTGGAAGCCAAGGACATGAGAGGGTCTCATGTTTGAAAACAGGAATAGTTTAAATCACTTATCATCCTGCAACACAACCAGAAAACAAAATGTAATCCATTCCTCATCCCTCACTCCAAAAGTGGCCAAGTACTTAAATTCTTATTTGGGGTACCAAAAGTGGGTTTCTGGGAAATCCTGTGAAGTTTCTGAGCTTGGAAGCAAATTTAAAAGAATACATGAATTTGTGTTCATTCCTCTGAGGTTTTAAATACATTCTCCTACAGCTTATGATGGTTAAAGATTAAAACCTACCCAGTTAACAGAATTGTTCTTCAAAGGACAACTGTACCAAGTGGTCATGCAGGATACAACCAGAGGGGAAGTCTGTGTCCCGAGCAGAGGTGCTCCTATCTGAGTAGTCCTTTGAACCCAATAAATTTCAGTTGGAATTTCTGGGTTATATACTGTTTTCCCACTCCAACAGCTTCCAGGCTGGCCTCCCTAATTTATGGGGCGATAAATTTGAACGCTATATTCTTCAAACATCACCCTCCTTTTGCATATCCTGGTGCATGGAAGGCATCCCACATACTTTCTGAAATTTTAGCATAGCAACTACAGCTTTGTGACTAAAGACTACTCCTTTCTGGGTCTTCCTCTATCTGAAGAATCTTGAGCCTCTCCTGAAGAATCCTGAGCTCTGCAGATTAGGCCTTCCCTTTGGTACCCACCAGATCTTTCCCTTCTGGCTTTTCAAACAAGATACTTTTCATATATCATCACATTTAGTTCTTTCAAGGCAGAAATTATTTTCATTTTTAGATAAAGACAACCGAGACTCACTGTTACCTATCTTGGGTAAGGTCTCTAATAACTTCAAAGGTAAAGGTAACATTCAGAATCAGAGCTATGAAACTCAGTCCACACCTTTATGCTACTTTTTTACATTTCAAAGCTTCTAAGCCTCACTTGCCTCTGAAAAAATGAGAAAATGATTCTCCTGTGGGGCTGAGGGGAAGATGGAATGGAAAGCTCCACCCAGTAACCACAGGGTAAACACCTGATTGGTTGTCCCTGTTGTCTGTCTTGTCTTTAAACACCTCCCCTCCTTAATACCACAGCTTTAGTCTGATACTCATTCATTTCATCTCTTCCTGTTTTCCTTTCCCCATCTGGGAAAACAGGATGGGGAAGGGCAGCAGAGGGCAGCCCCCGGCTCAGAGGGGATAATTTTAGAAGAGAATCCCCTGGCAGAGGTAAGTGGGGGAAGGGAAGACAGCTATGAAATTCAACCTGACACCCTACTCAAGGGCGGGGAGGGAAGGGCATGGACTCCAGCTCAGACACTGCTCCGTAATTCCCTTGAAAAGGCTTTCCTATCCTGGAAATGGGTACTTATTCCTATGGATTCTGGTAACAACCTCACCTAGGTTTTTATACCTCTTACAGCTACTTGTGTTTGCAAACCAACTGGTTTCAGTCCATGTTTATGTCCTTCTGATCTCAGTATTTTTCCACAGACTTCCTCTTTCTCTGATGATGTTGTTCAACTCAATTCAAAGTCCTTTTGCTCTTCCTAGACAGCCACCCACTCCTGTATTCCTAAGCAAATTCTCTGGAATTGTAGGTGCTTCTTACACAAATGCTTCTACCGAATTTCCCGTCTCCTGCTCAATCTTTCTAGCTCAACTGAACCTGTACAATGGCTTCCTCAGGCTCAAACCCCACAACCCAATTTAAGATTCCCCTTAAATAATAATGCAATTGCTTCATCCATACTGCCAGAATTCTCTTGTAATCTTTGCCACTCTAGAAAACCTTACAACTCACCTGGACCATCTGAGAAATGAAATTCTACTACCCCTTCTATGCCAGTCCGGCCTATTATTCCAGCCAAAAAGCCAGAACCAACACGGCTTGTTAATGACTTCCATTTTAGCTGACTGTAAAAAATCATAGGGCTGTGATGACTCATATGAGCCCATTCTCTGTAGAAGAGAGGGTGGCGGCAAAACCAGAGGGCTCTCTAGCTCGAAGCATGTCTTGTAGGGAGGAATGACAGGGAGCTAAGGGAATGCATGTGGACTTGAGAAGATTAAATATCCACAGAAACACAGACATTAGGCACACCCCAGTAACAAATAGGAACATTTATTTGGCACCTGATAGCTATACAAAAAAGTCTTGGCAGTGGAAAATGGGGAGGTTGTATCACTAAAATACATCCATCCTATACAGACCAAAAAGGCAGGACTTGACACCAAGTCTTCAAACCATCTGGCTCACAGAACAAACATTTATCAAGCACCTTGACTGCTATTGGCCTAGCGCTTTGCTAGGCACTCTGAGATGTGAAGGAAGTTATCTCACACCTGAAACTTCTTCAAGAAGCTAAAAATACCAGTGGATAAAAACAAAACACCCAGAAAAAAAAAACACCTGGAAAAACTTAAAAAGGGTACAAATACTAAACTCTATATGATCAAAAGGGAAATTCTGTCAAAAAGGATTTTAGCTATGGTTGGGTGCTTCTTTCTTCCCTCTTTCATAAACATTTATGGAGGACCAGTATGTGCCAGGTACTGGGTACATACTGCTAAAAGAGCCAGATTTCGGCCCTCTTCAAGCCTGTAGCCTAGTAAAGGCGGCAAAATGAACTAGTAAACTAAACATATATATAATTACAAATCACATAAGTGCAACGAAGGAATTAACCAGGATGCAGTAGGAAAGGGAGAGGGCTGTCCACAGACAGAATGGCTTGGAAGGGCTCCACAAAGAATAAGATGCTTCCCCAGCCAGAATGGAGTGGGAATGGAGAGCTCAATGTGCTGGAGAAAATGGGCTGAGGTCACTGGGGCCAGAACATAATGAGAAATCACCTGTTAGTGAGATTAAAGGACAAGGCAAAGCCAGGTCTCATGAATCAGGGACAAGGATTTTGTGTTTTATACAAGGTGTAGAAGGGAAGGCAAGAGTTCCAAGCAGCAGAGTGGCATTACATTTGCATTTAAAAGCCAAAAACTGTTATGTAAAGAATAGATTGAAGAGGGTAGGAACAGAAATGAAAAAGAAGGTCCTTCAATTCCCGGAACAAAAAAAAAAAAAAAAGATCTTTAAAGAATAGCAGGGTTTCACTGAAGCAGAGATAAAGAGGAGCAATGCTCACATAAAACCAAAGGGGTCTGACTCTGAAGCAGGAGGCTGGAAGAAGGTAGCACATTACACACTTGAGCAGAAATCTGACCCATGCAAGACAGTTTCAGATAGGCAAGGGGGCAGAAGAGAACCAAGGTAAAAGGGAGAGGGACATGAAGTGGAGTGGTAACACCTGGGAAGCTGAAGTTTAAGTGCATGAAAATAAAAGGAGGAAAAAGGGACACCCTGCAGGAGGGAGAAAGGTCACAGGGAGAGGAGCCGTGCCCTTCCTCCCCGCATTCTGCCAACACTCCTCACAAGGTTCCTTTCAGGAACAGCTCAGGGAGTGACTGTGGAAGCCCTTTAAGACTTCCGGGGCGAGCGAGGCACGAGGACCCTACCTCTGTTGAAAGGCTGGGCAGCTAGAGCCCAAAAGAACTGAGGGTGGAGGTGTTCAAAGGTTGTCCTTCCCTGGGGCTGGCAGTCCTGAAGGAACCACAGGCACTTCTGCTCACAGCAGCAGGGTGGATCTCAGTTATGTTTGCTTCTTCAAAGCCAAACAGAAGTGTCTACATTAAACTGGGACACCTTCCAAGCTCTCACTCTGGGGACAAATGGGGTCACGCAAATCAAAGAACAGATAGGAGGCAATCTCCTCAACTAACATAACACAAGTAATGACCAAAGTGCTCCTGACAAAAGCCTGGGGGGCAGAAATAACACAAACATTGGGGAACCCCCCTGCCTTCTCCCCATGATGATACTGAGTCCACAGCATCACTTGCCAGGCTCTTTTTCTGCAGCCGGCAATTAGTCCAGCCAGAACCGGCCCTAAAGCAGAGTGCTTCACACAGGAGGAGCAGGTCTAGAGTCCTATTCGCAAAGGTGGCAATGATGGGCACAGGAAACATGCCTGGGGGAGTCCCATATCCCTGAGGGGGCAAAACAGAAACCATGTGTCCTGAAGAGAAAAGGCTCTGACATCCTCTGGCAGTCCAAGGCCTCCAACAGCATGGCCAACAGGGAAGTGGCATCACGTGGGAGGGTACCCCGGGAACAGGTAGAGGGGACGGCACAGAGTGCTACAGTACTCCGACATTTCCTTGCATCGGTGGAACTCTGTGCCAGGGGCGTAGCCCTCACGCTCCTTGATAAGGGCATTCACCTGCAAAAGCAGAACCAGGGACCCAAAGTCAGACAGAGTCTCCATGAGAGCAGACCAGGGGGAAGGACAGAGATTACAAACAAGGGAAGGGGAAGGCGGAACACTGTGGAGATGCAAAGGTTTATGGAGCTAGCTGAAACTGACCTACCTTAACTAGCATGTCGGCCACATGCATGTCACAGGCCCTCTCAGAGAACACCTGAGCGAGCGCCTCAATGTACCAGGATCCCCGTTTAGTGTTACGCATGGCAGCAGTTCCTGCAACCAGAGGTGTGAAGGTCACATAGCTGGATTTCCATGGCAGTTGGACCTTCCCAGTCAAGAGAGCCCAGCGCCATAAACCCACACCTAGGAGAATACAATCTTCTGAATTACACTTCTGGAACTTGAAATACCTTTCAAGCAGGCATAGCCACATATCATATCCGACTGCGTGGGCAATCTCATCTTCAGCAGCTCCTCTTTACCAGCGTCACTCTCCTCGCACTCAGGGGACGTTGCATGGTCTTTTCCATCTAGCTGGTCAACCCCACGATCAGTCTCATCTGTAGAAAGGCAGACAGAATGAATGAACACGTTATTCTCTCCTATTTCTCAATGGGGCTTGCTGTAGGCATGGCCAAATCTGCTATAACCTGGACTGCAAAGAGCCATTTGCAGCTGTGGCCTCCAACCTATAGCTGATGAATAAAAGAAAAAAAGGTCATTATTTGCCTAGCATGCATCCATTATTTGGGAGGTGCCTCCTAGGCCAAGGACCGCGCTTAAGCACATGCATGTACACATGGCTGGAACATTTCCCATTCTACTTACAAAGTAGCTAAGGCAAACACGCTTTGTAAACAGAACTAAAAATCATGTAGGTCTATGATTTACTTGTTCAGTTAGCAAAATACCTGAGTGTTCTTTTATTGATCTTATTGCAGTGCACAATAAAATACTGATATTCAGTTTTATTACAGAAGCAGAAAAGCAATAAGCCAAAGCTGTGGTTGCTGTATGGTTGTTAAAACATGTACGCCATATAAAACTCGGAATTGCAAACTAAGTTATCAGCTAAAAAAATAAATAAAACTAAGCATGGTCAATTTCTAAGGTGATTTTGGTATTTTTTGTTCGTTTTGTATTGAGACAGTGTCTTGCTTTGTAGTCCAAGCTGGCCTTGAGCCTGTAGCAATCGTCTAGCCTCAGCCACCCAAGTGCTGGGATTACAGGCATGTACCACCACGCTCCACTGGTTTTGATATTTTGGAACCACTTCCTACTTACTTATTTCATTCAGGAGACAAGTTATAGCAGGCAGTCAAGATTTGAGAGAAGTTTGAAAGAGAAAGAACTTAGAACACTGCTATTCAATTTCAGTGTTTCTCAGCCTATCTTGAGCCAGACCCCGGATGGAGGCCTTTCCTATCTCAAGACAGACTTTTACTTTGGCTGTGTTCTTTTACTGTGGCAGCGATGCTGTTGGCAGGGAAAGAGACAGGGAGGAAGCACAGATCAGCACAGCCAAGGTAAGAGTATTCTTCACCCTGCAGTCAAGGGAGCCCAGCAAGGAAGTGAACATTTGGAAGAATTGGAGGGAAAAGCCTCACAAGTTAGTAAAAGGCAAATGCCACGTAGCATAGCATTGTCCCTAAGCCCTGGGGACACGGTGAAGAAAGTCACCACCCTTATCAGGCTTGCACTACAGTTTAGAAGTCAGTCAGCTGGGCCAAGGATGGTATTTCGTTCAGACGTTGAGTACAACACATACAGTACAAAGTCTGGTGAGCTGAAACCCTCAAACGGATAATGGGCTACTGGTCATCTCACGAAGTTAGAAAAGATTCAGGTTACTCCAGAAAAAGGCAGTTTCTCCCCACTCAGATCTAAAATTGTATGTATCCCTGAATTCAGAAGAAAATGACCGTTAATGTCTTTATTTTGCTGGTAATGATTGTCAAAGGAAATTGGTCAAGCTAAGTAATTCAAGAGACAAGAAACTTCTCTTTTCTACTGCAGATCTATTACTCAATAGCACTTTTCTTTTACTGTTCAATAAATAGTGCTTTCTTCACAGCACTCTCATCTGTTCTGTATATTCTGATTATGATTTCTGGAGCAGATAAATTCCCATCCACCCACTCAATACATACAGGCGCCACCACAAGTCAGGAAGTGCTCTGGCTTCGGAAAGGTAGCAGAGACGGAAAACTTAAGTTTCTGCTCCTAATGGGCTGTTTTCTTAGTGCATCTCCCTGCCAATTCTTCCCTGGTGACCTTGCCAGGGGGAAAAAACCATCACATTACTTCTTATTGAAGCTCTCAACATCTCTGTACTATTATCGTTTGAAGGCCAAAATCTCAGCTGGGACTAAGTTTGTAATTAGTTGGATCCACTTTCTGTGATCAGCGACACTTCACTACACACACAGATGCTCAGCTTTTTAATTAGACCCAAGCATAGGAGTGGGGAGGGATGAGGGGCACAACAGACACTTTGAATCTTGATGTGCCTGTCAGGCTGCTGTTTCTTCTCCAAGGAAAGACTATCTCCCTACACCTCCATAAATCACATGTCCTGGATCCAAGTTAAGCCCTACCCTTTCCTCGGTCTCTCTGAACTAACTTCACTTAAAAGTACCATCTACTCTTACTGCATACTCCTACATAAGTACAGTTCCCGTCTCACTAATTTTACCTTTGTTCAAGAACCAGTCGCAAGCCACTACATGTATATCTGCTTTGGTTACCTGAGTAGTTTCTTAGAAAAGCTATGCTTTTCTTTGCTTTTGTGGCATTACCTAGCATAGTCATAGTCATATTGTATCACATCCCATGATAATACTAGATTAGCAAAATATTAGCTATTACACAACAGATAAAAAAAATCATTTCAATGTCTGGATAAAGTGAACTTGAATCCAAATTATGTGCCCTTTGAGGACACTGATCCTGTTATAACAGCCACAGCTGGCTTTCCCTGTGAGTTTACCATTAGTTAGGTACTGTGCTAGGCAAGCTCTTATATGCATAATCCCTTTAATTATTATAACAACCTTATCCAATCAGTGTTGTTACAATCCACATTTTACATGAAGGAAACTGGGTTGGAGGGATGTCAAACAATCCTTCTAGCTTCATATAATTACTAAGTAGTGGAGTGAGAATTTTATTCCGAATTTAGAACTCTTAATTACTACTGTTTTCCTCCAGGATGAGAAGCAGCCTGTATCTTCGGAGCCTTGTCACACAAGCCTGGCTGTTCTAGGGGTAAAACTGCACACTGTAGATAATAAAGAAGAGGGACAGAAGCAGCTCAGGAAAGAGTCCAGGGCTGACATCAATTTTGTACTGCTATCCTGCAAGGTCCATGAAGGAAAAAGAAAAGGTGGCAAGAGTGGAAGTTAGGTGAGTGGAGAAGCCTAGGGAGAAAGTGGAAGCGGGGAAGAAAGGAGAAAGAACAGGAGAAAAGAGATAAAGTGAGACAAATAGGAAGAGACAAACAGAAAAATTCTTCACCAGAATGAGTAACAAAAAGGTGCACCTGTGTAGATAAGCGTAGCAAAAAGCCCAAGTAATCAGAAAAAGGCAAAGACACTAAGGAGAGAATCCTGAGGACAAGATATGGTGGTGCACAGAGAGCTGACCAGCCTGAGAGCCGTGGGCTGCCCAAGTCCCAGCACACCCCATGCATTGGGAGACACTTACAGAGCAAGAGAGGCGGTGGCAGCAGGGAACAGAAGGAGGTGCCCAAGGGATCCGATAGCACCTGAGAGGAGCAAACAGGAAAGTGAGAGCTGGTGGGGGGCTGTCCAGGAGCCATCACCCAGCTGCTGGTCTGCCGCAGCACTCACCTCCACGGCAGGCCTGGATGAAGAACATCTTCGGCTTGTTCTGCAGGCTCGGGCAATTGGCATTGTCAAAAAGCCGAAAAACCTCTTGGAGCTGCCAGAAAGAAAAGGGAAGCTCAGCAGTCCTAACCATACAACAGCAGTCTTCGTGGGAAGAAATGCAAGGGGGAGGGAGCGGCCGTGTATTTCCACAGGTCGACACGCACCTGCAGCAGTTTGCCATCCACACCGTAGACGCTGCCCTCCACACCATGCGAGAGAAGCACCACAACACAGGAGTCTGTGGCCCGGTGTGCAGGTAACTGTGCAAAACTCTGGAGTTTCTCTTGCATTTCCTAGAAGAAAAACACCTTTCAGCACTGACTCTTGCATTCAGCATCAATGTAAGCATGAACCTCTGGTTTCTCTTTGAAAATCTAAACTATCCAAGGAGAAATTTTTTTTGGAATGCAGTGGTACCTTGGTTCGTGAACTTAATTTTTTCCTCAATTCTGGTTGCACACTGCATCAAATTTCCCCACAAGGTTAACACTGAACCTCATCATTGGATTTGATTTGGTTTGCGACCAGAATTATGGAAAGAATTAAGCTCGTGAACTAAGACATCACTATTTGTGTGGTCAATGAGAAGAGAAGTCAGAGACCCTTACCGAGGCTAAAAACAAAAATCTGCATTCACCAGAAAAAAAAAAAAAAAAGCCTGACTCCAGAAGAAATTCTGAGTATAGGCTCACAGACTCATCAAGGTGACTAAAGAACAAGACTAAACCAAATTACTAATGAAATTAATTATAAGCTAATCAACTCTGATTCTCTGATCATCAACCAGTCTTTACTAGTGAAGAGGGGTAAGAATTGTGATAACAGAGAATGGCACTACTTGGTTGCTATTTTCCACAGCAGATGGTTAAATATCAAAAAACAAAAAAAAAAAAAAAACCAACATGTGTATGAAATGTTTTGCATAATGTTTTGCATAAAGCCGTTCAGGGCAGATTATGCACACAGGTTAGAGAATCGGACCCATCTTGGCTTGAGCCTTGGGCCCAATAAGTGGAACCAGAAGTTCAACCCTTCAATGTTCTGATTTCCATTTAGTAAGAACATTAATTACATGTAAATTTTCTCTGAATTTCTGAAGATTGAGATTTGGCACAGAAATTACTTAACTACTACATCTCAGACATACTGCAAAGGCCTATCATTATAATGTGCATGTTTAATATAGTAATAATGTTATCACTTTTTTCAAAGAAACCTATTAATGATCTTGTAGTCCAACTTAATCTTACTTGTAATAAATTATCACTTACAATACCACCACCTTAAGAATTTGGTTCATGCAAAAGAAAATAATGAAGATGAACATGGTACCTAGGCAGAACTGCACACATCTGCTTAATATGAACACCTCCCAATAAAAAGCATACTTGTACAATATATCACAGTGGTTCTCAGAGGGTGGTCCCTAAAGCAGCAACAACAGCACCACCTAGGAACCTGTGAGAAATACAAACTCTTGGGCTATAAAACCCATTTTAACAAACTTTTCAGCTGATTCTGCTATTTTAAAGTTTCACATGTACTAATTCACTTATTTGGAATACTTTGCAGATAACAAATGTAAGTATACGAAAGTTGCGAAAGACTACAATTTAATTGAAAATAGAGAAATGGAATTTTTGGAAAAAGTGTATTTCCCGGGTAAACTAGAGCCAACCATAATAGAAACCTTAAAGTAATAAAGGTTAGCCAAAATTCATTTGTTTACAGAATATGTAATTTTAAGAGTCATAACTGTTAATGTTTCTTAGGTCTCAAAAATGTTTAAATCTAAGTTACACAATTTTATCAGTATATGTTTACAGTATACAATTACAAACTCATCATAAGGTGGAGGTACACAGTTACATTTTGCCCTAATATAATAAGAATTACAGAATTAGGCATCTACTCTTGAGTATTTAAATTCAGTGGGATTATTAGTTCAGTCAATAGAGGGCAACAAAGTCCAAAGCAGTGTTCCTGTCAGTGTTATCAACACAAGAGGATGCTCTAGGATTACACTTTTTTTGTTGGAGACAGGGTCAGGTAATGTAGTCCAGAGTGGCCCTGAACTCGTGCTGATCCTGCCTTAGCCTCCTGAGCAGTGGTATGACAGATGCACATCATTATGCCAGGCCCGTATTTCTTATATCCAAGTGAAATTTATCTCTAAAGTCTAATATGCTTCAGAAGGCAAAAGGAAGATCTTCAATCTATTTGGTTTTGTTTCTGTTCCACCAGGAAAAAACCACTCTGTGTAGATGCTCTGTGCTGAGTTAGGATACTCACAGCAACCGCCAGTTTACAGAGGATCTCTTGTTTACACACTGTCTTCTCCACCTAGGGTGCTTCACCACTCCGCAGCAAGTGTCACTGCTCTGTATGCCCTGCTCTCCACACCGACCCAGGCAGTGCTTCCTCTGAGCTCTTACAGAAGCCTGTGTTCCTAATCTCACCAGGTCCATGGGAATATTAAGGGGTCACATTTCCTTTCCACTGATATTCAACATTCCCCCATTGACATGTAATCCCTGGAACTCACGGCCCACCGTTTAAAAGTTTCTGATGGCTAACATAGTTCCCCTATAAGATACTCAAAATTTAACTTTATTGTAACTGTAGTTACATAAAAATAGAAGCAGAGAATAGGAATCAATACAATCTTAAATCTGAGTTCATGGATTCGTTAAATCTACAGAATGTCTCAAAAACCAGTAGTGTATTTATAGCTGACTTGGTGACTCAGTCTGGCATGTTTAATTATCATGCATGTTCTTATCAAGTGCACACAATTTTGAGTATCATAATAATAGATCCTTAATAAAAGGAATGGCTAAATCAAAATCTCTAGGAAGACATGATAACATATATTTTGTTAGGCAACCCTCTAATAAGATTCCTTTTTCTGTAGTTGTTAAGGCTTGTGTTCTCCCCAAAGTCTCATGTACTCACAGGTGGGGCTTTTTCAGAGGTGGCTGCTTCTAGAATATGTGACATAGGGATTAGGGTGTGTAATTACTAAATTAGCCCACTGATTGGTTTGATATAGTTCTGGGTGTGAATACTATTTGCCCTAAGCCAAGGAGCTGCACAGACTATAAAAGGCACAGGAAGACAATGCTACTGTGGCTTTCTGCTTGCTTGCTTTTACTGTCTGCTCTCTGCTGGACTATTTCTCCTTTGCAATGGCCCTCTGCCATGCCACCCTGCCTTGGAGCTAGGCAACTATGGAGTGAAACCTCTAGAAACTATAAGCTGAAATACTGTAAAGCTTTCCTCCTTTAACTTTGGGAGTTGGGTATTTTAAATAAAAGACATGTTCCAACTGCAGGGGATAACCTATTTTTGTTCCAGTCATAGCCAGGAGCCTCAGGAAAGTGCATAATCTACTTTATTCTTTGAAAATCAGAGACATTGTTCTGGATAAGGATTTGAAGTAAGGGTGGGTTTACTACATTGCTATGGGAAGCCAGCAAAAATGGCATGTAAAAGACAACATCCTGGCAGCTTATGATGAATCTGGCTGTACCCAATGCACAGCAAACTTGCGGTTCTCATAGAAGCTAGAGAACTAAGGAAATAATGAAAACAATATAACACTCGCTGAAAACAAAACCAAGATCCTCTATCTCAATAGGTCCATGTCAATCTTCTAGAAATTAAAATTTCATCACTGAGAACACCAAAGGCAAGAAATGATTACTGTTACAGAATCAAGTTAATATACTTACAAATAGCCTATGAATATTAAAAATAACAAAGTCAACAGTATAGTTCAGTAATTTAGCTCAATAAGGACTAAATAACCCATAATGAAAATACTGAAGACTTGTGGGAATCTAGGCCTAAAACAGTCTATCCTAAGATAAGACTTATGAGCCATACAATTGGTAAGAGTAAGGGATTTCCCTGTGTGTCAACTCATTAGATGGTCACTAAGTAGTATTTATAAACTTTCATTTGAAGGACTCTCATTTCCAAAATTAATCACTGAAACAATAACTGGGTTCCTAAATAGTGATAGCAACCAAGAAGTAAATATCCTGCACAGTCCTGGTTTATAAATATCTTCTGTGAGTTGGTTAGCATGAATCTTACTGTTTCACCACTTCCTGAGGGACTGGGAATCAAGTTTCTGAACATGTCAAAGCCAGAACTTAACCCTAGACTATTATTACTCCCTGAAAGCACAACTACCTCCAGGTGTCACACATGTAAACAGCTAGCAGGCCCTAATTCCTTTTCACTAGATCACAAGATGAGACACACAACTGAGTGAGCATATAAGGGCAGGAACCTAAAGATACATCTGAAAAGCAAAGGAGCAGCAGATGAATCTGGCCTCAAAGTGTAACCCCAGCCCCTGATTTACAAGTCAGTCTTCCATGCCGAGGTACCTGTGCAGTCTGGTCATGCAGGACATGGATATCATAGCCCAGAAGCTTGAAGAGGGTGACCAAGGTACTATAGTCCACCTCCCCTCCAGAGCGCAACTCCAAGTCTTTCTCGCCGGTGAAGTGCACATTGCTCAGCACCAGTGCCAGGCCTCGAGGCCGGGACTGCAACCGATAGGCCTGCAGAAAGAAGGCCAGTTAGAGCTTCTTAATGACACAAATCATGACGAGGCTGCTAGAAAAACCATTTCCAAAAACCAAAGATCCAAAATTGTAATTTTAACTCCACCAGGCAAAAACAGAGATATGCCTACAGACGTAACAATCAGCAAGGACTTTCTGACAATTAAGGTAGTTAAGTATACACAAACTAGGTTGAGATGTCCCACAGAGGTGTCTATTTACCCAGTTCTTGCTATATGAAAGACTCACCTGCTGGTGATGTGTTTGATAAAACTCAGGGGTACAAGGCTTCACCTGGAGGCAAGGAGGACCATCACCATTATCTAGAGAGTGCTCTACCACATCTGCAGGAAGACAGAAGGCCAAAATACTGGTAGACAATTCAAACCCCCATCGCAGCACATCACTGTAATTTAGGGCACCCTTCTGAATTGGTCTTGAGAAACACTGTGCCCCCACTCACTGTCTGATCTGTAAGCTTTACCAAGGTACAGACCCTGGTCTTTAGCTTATCACTCAGTCCTCTGCACTGGGCTTGCCTGTAGTAGATGCTCAACTCATTGAATGACTGGAAGGCAAGGTTATCTGATAAAATATTGATTCTTATCAGTAGGCTAACAGTCATCAGGCTGATGGTAAATGCAGTCTTTTTCTCATTCAGCTTTCAAGGCAGGGCTGGCTGATCTATGTAGAAGTTTCCCATCTATATAAATTGTTCAAAGGACCAATTTACCCTGAAGAATGTTATCTGCAAGGTAAGGGGAAAAGGTCCAACTAGGGCCTTATGTAAATTTCTTAAACAAACTGTCCTGCGAGGCTGAACGAATATACTGAGGAACTGCTCCCAACAAGAAATATGTCTTATATAAGGGAGAAGCCAGATACCAGCCAAAATTAGAGAAATCAACCTGTGAGGTCCCTTTTTTCCCATCAATTCTCACCTGATGACAGGCGGAGCTGCTTGTGAGGTGAACAGGACTCACACACTGGGAAAGGGAGACTCACATCATAGTCACAGCTCAACTGTAAGAAATCAGGACACATCGTGGCAAACCGTAAGGAGACGGTCCAATCAAATTAAAAATCTCTTCCCTATCCTGTTCCACAGAAGTTCTTTCCAGCCAGATGATCCCTTCCCAGAACCCCACATTTCTAGGATTTCATACCGGTGGAAGTACGTGCTGAAGATCAGAGAGGGTTGTGAGCAACAGATCTTCTAGGTGACCCTGCTTTGTCTCTCTTAGTGCTGTACAGAAAGCATCAAAAGCCTCAGGACCCCTCTTGGGCAACAAGTTGAGGAGTTCCACATTCTGGTTGAAACTGCCCACTTTAGCCTAAGATACAGGAACAAAACATGACATATTTATTTAATCTACTTTTAATCCTATTTTTCCATATGAGCTTGCTTCCTAATTGTGTCCTCACTCCTTTTAAAAATAACTTAAGAATTTCTTTTAAAAGAGAAGCATTTAAAGCTGAAGTCCTTCCCATTAATCTTGAAATATGTATCTTTCCTGTCAAACCCTAAGATATCTTCTCAGACAACCTTCCCACACTTATCATCTGCTGCTCCAACTGATCTTCTTGGCCCCTTCCTCTCTTTCAACTCTACATACCTGGATGAGCTCTCGCATTTCCAAAGTAATGATGTCCTTCTCCAGCAGGTGTTCTAACAGTTCACTCAGCAACAGCTGCTTGGCCAGGACCACTCGGTTCCTTTTTAGAGTTTCCTGATGGTCAGGATGCATGCCGCAGGCTCCTACTATCCTATAGTAAGAGGGAGATGAAAAGGCTATCAGTGGAAGAGGTGTGGATAAGAACAAAAGTTAGGGCTTATAACAATCAAGAGTAAGCCTATTTTATTAAATCTGGTTAAATTCAAAGATGTACTAAGCATGAACATGATCTAAAGGAAATAATGTGTAATTGTTTGTGGAATATATTCAACTGAGACTATACCTGAGGTGACAGACTAGATGCGGGAAATATGTATGGCAATCAAAATAATACACACACACCTATTCAAGGAGCATTTCTCTGACCAACCAATTTTGAGTGAATTATTCCAGAATACATCTTATATTAGTTATCTAAAACCAATTTAAGTTCGAAATGTCCTTAGATGAGGAATGAACAATGGCCAGGTTAAACAGGTATGTTCTCTCTCTAGATTACTTTTGCAAATTGTTTTCTCAAACTTATAATCTGTGACAAAATGACACTAGCAGCCAGAATCCTCTAAGATGTAGGTAAGTAGAAAGTATGACAGAAAAGACATAAAAATACCAGTGATGGACACAATCAACATGACTTGGAAAAAAAAAACATGATTTGGAATCAGTGCAAATGAGGTTAATCTATTTTGGCAATTTGGTTTACTAGGCATATTGTCAGTTCACAGATTTCTTCACACTATTGGTTTGGAAGGATTAGCTTCTACTTATGAACTAAAAGCCCAATTTCACTATGTATCATGTAGGTATCCAATTTATGTAAATCAAGAGCTCTCCAGCCTTAACTTTCTAACATGACATTAAGGTCCTGATGGCAGTGAAAAAGGAAAGTAACGATTATTTTAATCCTGTTTTTCAGTACAGCTTCCTTCCCAGTAGTGTCCTCACTCACTTTAAATTAAGACTATCTTTTAAAAGAAGAGTATGAAATATGTATCTTTCCTGTCAAATTCTAGAGGGATTTCCTCAGTCAGGCACAATATCCCTTCAACATTCTATCACCTGCTGTTTCACTTTCTACTTTAAACCTATTTAAAAATATAACTTGATTTTTTTGAATTGAGACAGTATTTTTATTCTGAGCAGTCCAACACACATATGTGCATTTATACACAAACATCAAAGAAAAATTAATGTATCTATAATTTGATCCTATATGCCTAAGAATAAAACAGAATTTTCTTTAAGAAACATAACTTGATTTAAAAGATGATAAAATGTGGAAGGAAACAGCATCTTTAAATCTGTGAAATACTATGAATCCAGAAGGGATGTATTTTGCATCAAGATGTTATTCTCCTAGAGGTTTATAGTTAAGGGAACAGGAGGAACTCAGGAAACCCAAGACAGCAAGTGTGATCCTAAGGCAGAAGAGGTATTGAGAATATACCTGCTACTCCAAACCTTCATTGTAACTTACTAGAACACCATCATCTATACAAATCAAACGCTGCATTTAAGAATCCCCTTAAAAAACACCAGAACACTACCAATATTGACAAACATAAATTCTGCAAAAACTGAGTAAGAATGTTGTTGGTTGCTGGCTATTTCCTTAGGAGATAAAACCAGTAATGAAGCAGATGTCTTTCTTCAAAAACATTTACTTCTTGAAGTATTTCTGTTAGCCTTCCTAACATCATCCTTCATCCTCTCTAGGTCCTTTCTCTGCCTGCTACACTCCTGTTTCCTTTACAGGTCCTTGGACCTTCCCTTAAATGCTGACGGGGTATTAAAACTCTCCCACAAAATACCTTTTTCTAAGCAATCTCATATACAGACAACTCACTGTCTCCTAGTTCTGAACGCTCTCGAAAGTTCCAGACTTGAATTTTCATCCAACAACTCATTGCTTCTTATCTGAAGCATCAAGTGTTCTCTCTGCACATCTGCTTCCTCCACCATATCATACCAAAGGGTGAAACCTAACTGATCTTTCCAAGTCTGCAAGTCACCATCAAAGTTCTGGATGCCCTTGAAAGTGATGGACGGTGGAAAAAAGGGTCACGAAGGGAGTTCTAAAGATTCCGTGTCCTTCTGCAGGATCCTTCTTCAGAGTCATAAGTTAATCTCCCAGCTTATTAAAATAAGTTCTCCTAGGTGGCTGTCTGCCTCGAACGGAGACCGATAGGGTGAGGGGCCTGCTCGGAACTACAGGACCCTACTAATCCTTTCAAAATACTCAACTTCAAAAGCCTGTGCAGAGTTCTTTGAAAAAATACTGTCACTATATGCAGAGACTGCAGTCATGATACAAGGAATTCAAATCAAATGCACCCCAGGCCGAACACTTACAGTGTGCAGGTCTCACTGGCTTTTAAAGGATCAGACTACCGTTTCTAAAGTAAGTAGAGAAAAAGATGGAGCGTCTCCAGACACTGCAATCCAGCAGGACGGGACACAGCGAATCTTACGCACTATCCCAGTGGGAAAGACAAAGGAAGGCTGGCACTTTCGTTCGGGGCACAAGGCCCAAGGGCCAGCCCGCACAGTCCTGCGCGAAGTGAGGCTCCGGGCACCCCGAGGGCCCGTCTGGAACGTACGTCGTGGTAGGGGATGCAGCCGATTCCAAGGGGTCTGTGGAGGGGACTACAGGGTCGCATGCCTGGGACCGTGTTCCTTTTTCCGGAGCCTCACTGAGCCCCCCTGGAGACCTTCCCACTCACCTGCGCCTCCGATCGGCAGCCACTGGCCCCTTTTGTTGCACAGGGGGCCGGGACGCCGCGCGGGACGCCGCCATTGCCCGCTTTTCCCGGGTTGTGCACGAACCGCCTACAACCCAAACAAACCCGAGACCCCCCCACCCCACTTCCTCCGCCTCCCATCCCCCGCCTCCGGCTCACCCCGCGCCTGCGCACTGCTACTTCTAGTGCGGCCCGGACACCAGGCAGGTGTCGCCTCCATCGCGGCCGGTGCGTGCGCAAGCGCAGAGCTGTTGCCGAGGCCGCGCCGTCCAATGGGGCGAGAGCTAGTGCCGGGAAGCGGAAGTGGAAGAGGCGGGGAAAGAATAAGACCACGCCTTCCTAAGAATCCCATTGGCTATCGTTTCCCGCGGAAACTATGGCCCCTCCCCGGGCACCTCCCGCCCCTCCTGCCCCGCCTATTGCAATTACTTTGCGGAGACGTTTGAGGCTGGACTTCTTACTGGCTCAGAGCTGATCGGCTGGGTCCAGGGGGAGTTTCTGCACTAGAGGGCGCTCTTCAAGGGGCGCTGGTCACACTCCACCCTGTTTATAGGTAAAACTGGCCCCCCACTTTTGTGTACATGGAATCTTCCATACATGACCAATCGTGGTCTCACAAGATTGTGAGAAGGTTGGGTGGCCTGGCTTGCAGTTTGTTTCCTTGTATTAATAACGCCTTGGAATCAGAAGTCATTTAAAGACTTTTTAAAATGTTACTAGCAGTGTATTTTTGTGCAAGTTATCCAAATCCTCTGATCCTTGGGTCTTCATTTTCTGGGGGTATAATACCTTATATGGTTGAAAGCCTAAGGCATCTAACAGAGGTGAAGCGTCTAGAGCAGTGGTAACACAGCTATCGTTCAGATGTTCCTTCTTTTTTTCTCCAAGTTCCTGGATCACCTTTCCACCTCGCTTGCGATTTAACTCTGGAAGTACTGGACATGGGCAGGTCAGTCAGTGTTGCCAGAAGACTCAAATTATACCACGCACACAGCCTGACTCCTGTGTGGGTTCAAGTCTCCATCCATGATGTTCAGATGGAAATGCAGTTCCTCACACACAGTTCCTGCAGTTCCTGACACCGGTAAATGCTGGTCAAATGAGTCAATGGGTCTGTTACAGAGACACTGAAGCCGTAATGAGTTGCCTAAGAGTGTGTCCAGTTGTCTTCATAGAAAACGTTATCATCTGGCTGTGCAAAACAGTCCTCATAGGCTGGGGGTGGAGTAAGGGGCTCCAATTTGGGGGTCTCCCTCAAGCTCTGCAGATCAGGAGCAGTGGATACAACACGTGGTCCCCGAAGCCGGAGGCTGACAAGGGGTCTTGCATGGTTTCCTCCCAGAGAAATGGACCCCTCGGAGCCCACACGATTTTCCAGTCTGCCTGTCCTGGGTCTCTCTAGTTGGGGAGCCTGTTCCCCCTCAGGTCTTGGGGCGATTACAACACTGCAGTAAGAGGGTGGCTGATCCACTTCTTGTGGGTGGTTCTGTGACTCTGAAGTCACTACTGCTTCTTCATAGGTTGGTACCTCAAAAGCTTCATTGTCTCTGAGGAGAAATAAGGTCATTAGTTCCTGAAAGGACCTCTTTTCCCTCTTCTGGTATGCTAGCCACAAAAAAACCCTTTGTTGGCCTTGACTCCTGACTGACAGATGAAAGCAGTCTTTGCAAAGAGACTAGAGGTGTAGAAGGAGAACAAACCTCAGGTGTATTCAGATTATCCTGCCCACCCTTAACTCACCGTCCTCTGCCTGTGGTCTCTTGGCTCTCAGTCTGCATTGACTGTCTTGATCTCTGCATTGATTGGAGGTGCCATTCCAGATAAGCAGTCAGGAGGCACCCAAACAAGAGAACACCAGCCAAAATGAGAAAGATATAAGCAACATGGGTGAGGTTTGGCTGTACGCTCAGCAAAGTCAGGCCCAGGAGGAGGAAAGCGCTGCTCAGGAAAAGAAATGGCTTCTTCAGTATCCCCCACAACTGGCTTGGCACCATGGCCCCTCCCAGGGCACCTGCAAAAAGACACCGCTGTTTTGGGTAAACTAGCAGTTGGCGTCACGCTGTGCCAGATGCCAAAGTAAGCACATTCTACGCTTCTGTTTGGGATTTTGGTTCTTTAATCTCAAACCAAATAAACTACCAGCTCCATCATTTCCTCTCAGTTATCAGGGTGTGGAGAAGAGTTGAGGCATCAGCCCTAAGTTCTGATTCCTAGCTGTTGGGTGAATTTACTGTGTGAGGGTCCTGCCTCCCTTCCTGTCTCCTCCCCGAGATCTGCCTTCCAGGATCCAACATCAGGGCTGGTCGCCTGTCTGAGGCCTCTGCACACTGGCATCTCTGGAATCCAAGCATTAGAGGAGGCCGTGCCCTTGCCCTGTTATGACTGTGATTGAACCTCCACCCTCCACCTTTCCCTCCAGAGGTCCTCAGTTTGGTCCTGGGAGACAGAAGGGAGGTAGAGATATCACTTACCCTGTGTGCCCAGTCTTCTGATTCCCCCACAGTCAGTCCATGCTCTGGTTGGAGGGAGAAATTGCGCATTGACTCAACCATACTATAAGGACACAGCTTCTTGTACACGGTTTTACAAAAGCCTGGTCCTTGTCACCGCTGTCCTTTTCTACACCCTACATCTGCCAGACATACCTCCTCCCCGCTGCTCTTAATTCCTTCAGATTTCCAGTTTGGGGCTAGGAGTCAGTCAGCACAGCTGCTGGGAGGCTAGTGGACAGGGAAGGCCTTTTCAGAAATGGCAACAGCTTCAAGGCAGGCCAAATCTGAAGCCAGAATGTGAGTTCCCTCAACTGCTGGCACCCAGTTCTACTCCCACTACCTTTTTCCGGGCTGGTGGCTGGGGTCACAGGAATTCCTGCTCACCTGGTTCGCAAATCTTACAAAGCAGTCACCGGAGCTTGGTGACAGAGGCGGGGAAGGCAGAGAAGGAGGCGGAGCCCACTGGCCTCAACCCTTCCTGGGCCAATCCCTGTTCTGCCCAGTCTTCCTCCTCACAGTCCTGCTCCAGGGTGGCCTCCTCCTACTGCCCCACCTGGATTTCTGCGCCACTACCCAGTGAGAGGGCTTTTCCCACTCACAGTGATCATTGTACTTAGGACCTGCATTCCAACTAGCCTTTCCCCCTCCCTGTTCTGTGAGCACTGTGTCACAGCCTTTCATTTGGGTAATTTGTTTTGTACCTTACTCTCCAGGTTGACTGGAAGCAGAGGCCAGAGGCAGTGGCTTAATCTTTGTAGATCTCACCCAGGTGTTGCACAGGGAGCTATTGGTGTGAGCCAAAATGGGCTGTCCTTCTGCAGTTACTTCTCTAGTGTCCCTGTTTTCCACAGACTACTCTGAAGGGTGTGTGTGTGTGTGTGTGTGTGTGTGTGTGTATCTATACTTTTTGGCCCAGTTAATTCTCTATTCTTCAAATACACCTTCAAAGCTCTTGCTGTAGAGCCTTTTGCATCCTCTCCTGGCATCCCTTCTTTTCTCTGTGAGCCTTTCCCTGGGTATATGCTACTTTTTTGTTTATCTATTATTATTTTTTTTTTGCACTGTGAGATTCTCAAGGGAAGTGTTAAGTTTCATTCATTGTGGAATCCCTGAAATGTACTGATTCTCAGCACTGAGTACTTAGATATCTGCTCAATAGAGTCATTACTTTTATTAGAAGCCCCCTGAGGGGGCCTCACGACCCTCAGTGAATCCCAGAACCACTCTTTAGTTATGGGGTGTGAGAGGAGGTGCTGGGAGGTGGAAGGTGACTAGAGGTCTACTGTGTCCTTGGGTCTGCTGAAGTTGGGCTCTTCTTTCAGTGTATTAGCACTGGACAGACCAACAGAGGTACAGATAGCATGTATAATTCCTTGTCTCCAAGGGTGACAGTTGTGGAGACCTAGCTAGGGCCGCTAAAACTATGTGTGGACTCTTTCTGTATGTGTGTGTGTGTGTGTGTGTGTGTGTGTGTGTGTGTGTGTGTGAGGGGAGAGGGTGAGAGACAATGAACATGAGTATAAAAATGTCGGTAGCAGCATATGTGGGTAGTGGAAGAATGTCCCAATGACCTTCTGTCAGAGATTGCTGTGTAGAGAGGAAAGAGACAGGACAGGCTGTGGTTTCTGCCTGAGGTGGAACTACACAAAGCAGGAATGAGTGGGAGAACAGCTGCTGGTAATTTTGTTTTGCACCAATCTCTTTACCGTTCAGCTCCAGGAAAGTATGACTGGATCAGGATTTTGATCTTTGGTTGGTAAGTGAGAAGAAGAGAATGACCAAATACTGATGGTATGTGTGATTAGCGAGGGAGACTTGTCCAGAAGTCAGTTTGAAGAGCGCAGGCAGTGCAGGCTAGGAGGCAAGGGGTACAATGGCATGGGTCTGTATATCTGTAGTGTGAGACATTATGCCACCCAGGAGAACTCGAACCTTTGTAGTTTAAATCTCTTGGTTGGCAAAGGAAGGTGTAATTCAGAGATCTGTTAGTTGGGATAAAAAGTAGATCAAATAAGAAAGACTGAATTGTCTGCTGGCTGAGTCTTTTAAAATGTATTTTCTATCCTAATAATTTTAAATTGCTTTGGTAATTTGCCATTTGTTAACAAATGTTATAAAATATTTAAAAGCTAAAGAACAAATGAATTATGATTATCTCTGATGTGGCCATTTAAAATTTTTATCATCCTTTTCAGGCTATGCCTATATAAATCAACCTGTACTCTAGTTGAGATCAGCATATGTTCATTAGTTTGTATCTTTAAAATGTTGGAAACACTTTACAAGTATGTATTTTACCCATTGAAATAGCCTTAGTATTTTCTTCTTTGCTTCTTTTTTGGTGCTAGGTATAAAACCCAGGACTTTGCCCACGCTAAGCACATATTACTACTGGCCTTTGTATCTTAGCCCTAGTATAATAATTTCTAAGGAACATCTGATATTTTATTGAGTCAATATGCCATTATTTGACTAGCATACCCTTCTGTCACTCAATAACCTTGAGCTTATTTCATCCAATTTTCTTGGTCAATAAACACGATGTTGTTAAGATACAGAAAGTGGTTTACACAGGCATTGTTAGGGCCAGATTGGGGGAGTGAAGACTGCAAAGTAATTGCTGATGGGATTCTTTGAGGAATGTTCTAGAATTACATAGTGGTGATGCTTGCAGGGGAGATCCCATTGAATTGTATATTTCAAAAGGACAAACCATATCTCAGTAAAGCTGTTTATAAATTCAACAAATGCCTTCTTATGTGTAATTGTTCTTCTTTCATGTTGAATGATAAATTCTAAGAAGAAGATGAATTCTAAAATATGTCGAGACAAGCAGTATGGAAGTTCCTAGTGTTTTGAATACCTATAGCAATCTCCCAAGGGATTTACTTTCCTTCTTCACTTTATCAACTTAATACCCTTAACAAAACCTGAATGAACCATTTAAGTCAATCATTTTCCTCTTGTCTGCTTTTGGCCAACACTGTGGAGGCTGATGCATGGCTCTCTGCCTGCAGTTGTCACCTCACCCTGGTGGATGACCATGAAAGTGTGGGGGGATAGAAACAAAGAGAAGGCAGGTGACAGTCAGTTCTCCTGTGAGATTTGGGGTTTCCCACTGTGTGCTTGTCTCTGTGGCCACACAGTTGTGTGATTTTACATTTCTAAATCTGGGTCTGCTTTATAGTTGTGTGGGGTTCTTGGTTATATATTGCTTTACTGTGATGAATACATAAAGCAACTTAAAATATGCAGAATATATAGAAGGTAGTTATGATGATGATATGACATCAGAAACTTGAGGGATATGAGTGGCTAATCAGAGGTGAACCCACCATCAAGCTCAGACTCCTTGCTCTTACTTAACCATTGTGTTAAAACCTCTCCGAAGACTTTGGCTTCTTTCATCATGATGCCCCAACAAAACACCTCTGATGTTCTGCAACCATTCCTCTCATGCTCCCCGCTTCTCATCCTTTTCCTACCCTGCTCCTTCAGCTCAGGGAAGTGCATGCAGCCAAGGCTGGACTTGGAGCACATCTGTGTGAGACTAGCAGGGGGCACCATCCTGCTATGTGGTCAATTGCACTGTGAAGCAGTTGTTTACACTGTAGGTAGAGAGGTCCTAACCTCTAAGTGTATCTGCCTGGGAGAAATGACACATTTGATTTTGGTCTTCAGGGTGTTGTGATATGGTTGGAGAGCTAAGGTATCCACATGGTGATGAGAGACAGTAAGACTATCAATGTATAGGTATAAAATTTTAAAAAATTAAAGATACTACTGACATATAATCATAGTAGTTAATTAGAAATAGACTATAGTCTTATAAAATCTAGTAGTTAAGAGGATAATCATAAGAAGCAAGTCTCCTGTTTACCCTTGAACCTGAGTTGCTCAGTCCCATCTCTAGAAGTAATTAAGTTTCTGAATTTCTATGTAAACACTAACCCTACCCCCAGAGACTGTAAATACACCAGGGTCATCCACATGGACTCCCTGAATACACTCAGACACATGCTGCTTTGTGTTTTGCATTCTCCACCTAATGATATAAATTGGAGATGATCCCTTATCAACATGTATAGAGCAGCATTCAGCAAGTAAAGACCATTTCATTATGAGTATTAAAAATATACAGAAAAAATTTTACAGTGAACACTCTTACATCCACCACCTTGATTTTATATTTAGCACTGCACTACACTTGCTCTATAACTTGTCTCTCATCTCTTTGCCTTTGTCCATCATCAGTGTACCTTCTTTTTGAGACAGGTCAAAGGAGTCTGCAGACGCTGGTCCACTTCTCTCTACTTTAATGTGCACAAAAGTACAGCTCTATATTTACTGTTAATTGTTTCCCTTTGGAATAAAATTTGCCTACAATGAACACACATTTTATTTTTTCCCTCAGTATTGGGGATTGAGTCCAGGGCTTTTGCACTGAGATACATCCCCAGTTCATTTTATTTTTAAATTTTAAAATATTCTTGCTAATTCCCAGATTGCACAGGCCTTGTTCAAACTTGGAATCCTCCTGCTTCAGTTTCCCTAAGTGCTGGGATTACAGACATGGACCAGCATCTCTAACACACAGATTTTAAGTGTAGCATTACTTGAGTTCTGATAAAGACATACAATTTTATGATCGAAATTATAACTAAAACACGACACATTACTATCACCCAGAGAGTACCCTCATATCCCTTCCCTATCAGTGCTATAGATATGCTTTGTCACCTTTCCATGTTTTAAATATTTTTCTGTATTGTATTTGATTTTATTTTAGGGAACAACTGTTTAGTGGTTCTACGAATGATAGCCATTTATGTGTTTTCCTGATTTTGCAATACATGCCCTTGTCTTTATTTATATGTTTAAATGTGAATTTTTTTTTTTGCGGGGGGAGACAGGTTCTTACCATGGGCTGGCCTTGACCTCACTATGATCCCCCTGCCTCAGCCTCCCAAATGCTGGGGTTACAGTTATGTGTCTGAAATTTTTAATAGATATGGCCACACTGCCCTCCAAAGAAGTTGTAGCAGTTTATACTTTAACTCACATTGCATGATGGTCTGCTACCTCAAACCCGAGTGTTATCAAACTTAAAGAGTCAACAGATTTTTACCCTGAATTAGCTACAGGGGATCAGAGATGAATCTCACAGGCAGGAAATTTACAGTCCAGAAAGACATCTCTGTAAGGAACTATATGACAGGGTACAAAGTGCCAGGTGCTGGGAAGGAGAGCTGAAGTGTGCCTAGGTTCAGAGGTGAGCCTGACTGCTGGAAAGGAAGGGTGGGGATTGAAGAAGAGAGCAGGGTTTATTCACATTTCTTTGATACCAGTTTCAGCCACAGGCTTGGAGTAGGGAATAAATACTTCTGCTATCATTTATTGGTAATTAACAAATACTGAAGTTCTGATTCCTTGTTTCTCCTTCATTAGCTGTTTCTCCACCCCACACACCCTTTTCAGAATTTTTCTAGTCTGACACCAGCTAGAACCAACCACACCCTGGAGCATGGGTTTGGTTGAAAAGAGGATTATTTCTTTCTTTTTTTTTTTGTCTTTTTCCTTTTTTATCGGTACCAGGGATCAAACTCACAACTGCCTGCTTGCAAGGTAGGCGCTTATGCCGCTGAGCTAAATCCCCAGCCACGAAATCTTTTATCATGTAAAGAATCCCCATGTTTTTCTTCCATAATAAATGTCTTTAACTTGAAAAAAGAATAATTTCAAAAAAAAAAGAGAATAATTTCATTTATAGTTTCTCCATATCTATTATTTGTCTTTTTTTTTTTTTTTTAAATGGGTCTTGCTATTTAGTTCAGGCTGACCTGAAACTCACTATGTAGCCCAGGCTGGTCTTCAACTCTTGGTGATCCTCCTCCCTCAGCCTCCACGTGCTGAGATTACAGGCATGAGCCACCATGCCCAGCTCATGTCTGCAATTTAAAACTGGAACATTTTTCAACTTTCTTTTTCTTAGTAAAATATGACATGTAAATAATGTATAATTTGTCTTGAAAGAGTCCACCAAGCTGACTGGTGAGTTGGTGAAGCAGTACATACCTGTAGTCCCAACACTTGGAAGGCTGAGGCAGGAAGATCAACATGAGGTCAAGGCCAGCCTAGACTACAGAGCGAGACCCTGTCTCAAAAAACAAACAAACAAAAAAACCAAAACCCCCAAAATCAAACAAACAACCCAAAAAGAATCCAAGGGGCTGCATTTTATTTGTCCTCAATTAAAAAAACAACTTTAGTAATAAATGTACAGTGGGAAAAAGGATATAAAAGGTTATTTAAAAAAAGGTTATAAAATGTAACCCTGCCAACCGTAGATCACCTTGGCAAATACTTTAATAAAACAGCACTCACCATGCTCTGGGTAGCTCTCATCAACAAGAAGCTATACTGCATTTTTTTTGTTCTTGTGTTTATAAAGACTGCGATTTTCCCATATTTTTATTTTACATTAGTTGTACACATCACAAAAATTCTTTGAAAAGGGAAGTAATCTGGACAAGTAATTAGTATTACTTGTAGAAACTGTGGGTAAAGAGGCTTTTAAATCCTGGAAAATGCAGGGATCGTGGGAAAGGGGAGAGGAAAGTGCTGGGGATAAAAGAGGGAAGTGGGGTGTGAGGTGAGGAACAGCCCGGGGGGAGGCAAAGGGAAGCTGATGCTTACATCTCAAGGCCCCCAGCACTGTGCAAGGCTCTGTACCCAGTTCCTAACAGGTGTCCAAGGTAGTCTGACTTTTAGAAGAGAGGGTTCAAAGCCAGAAAGCTGGTGAAACTCACAGGACTGATAGTGCACAATAGGTAGAGACTGAGGTAGGGACTTGGACACATACCATGGGGATGGGAAAATTATAGGGAGGTGGATGGAAGGAAATGGGTTATAGAGTCCAGGGCCAGAAGCCTAGGGGTTTGCTCCGTATCTGGGTCAAGGGATGGACAATGGAGTGCTGATGGACAATGGAGTACCTTAGGGCATGCAAAGCTGGCCTGCTCCCTGTACCATACCTCACTCTGGTTCTGCTCATCCAGGTGGTTGGATCTGCTTTAAACATCTGGGCTGGAACATTCTCTGGTTCTGTGCACTGCCCAGACTGTTGTCTACCCCATAACTTTGGCTGGTCAGAGACATAAGCTTAGTCCCAGAGACAGGTGTTCAAGTGAAAGAAAGTAGGTCTGATTCTCATGTGTCCTGCACAGCTGTCCCACAGTGGGCTGGGGGACTGAGGGACTGGTGGGCTGGGGACTGGTGGGCTGAATCTGGAAAGAGTTCTTTGTGTGAATCCCAAGATCATACATGGTGTGACTGCAGGAATGAGTATGCCAACACCACTAGGACAGACAAGACGCAGAAATGCTTTAGCTAATCACCTTAGATTTACTTTTGGAAAAGAATAATGTGGATTTCTCCAAAGGCATTTTGTGAAGCTTCTATGTAAAGGCAACTACGGCTTACAGTAGACCCCTTCTTGGGCATCCCTGGGGATAGGCAGAAGACAGACAGCCCCCAAAGCCAAGGGCACATCTATCAAATGGGCAAATCAATGGACCTGGAGCAGGTGGCCTGCAACAGCTTGCTTCTTCCAGACAGGCTTAAAGTTTGGCATTCAGGGCTGGAGGCACAGGGCCCATCCACTTTTCTCCGAAGAAAATTAGGGATGTTTACACACTATTCTCAGGTGTGCTAGCAGCAGGGGGGATGGCCCATAAGACTCAGGAGTTTTCTAGAAAAAGCTCTGCTTGGCTTCAAGGAAGAGGCTTGCTGAAGACTTCCTTTTCTCCTCAGGGACCCGCTGGCTCCTCCCAATTCAGCCTTGAGCATCACTGGTAGGGTATGTTTTCCTTGTGGGAAGTGTGAAGAGCAATTTTGCTCTGAAGGCCTGCTCCTGGTTAACTGATACAATCGGGGTGGGGCTGGTGTCAAGGTAGCTTGGAGTGGAAAGCGGAACTTACCCAGCAGGTATGCCAGCAATTCCATGCGGTCAGAGCCAAATAACATGTGTGTCTGGCCATCTATATGAGCCACAGTGATGGGCAACCCGAAGGCCTACAGAAAGCAGAAGAGCAGGAAGAAGGCAGTGGTGCTTATAGGCTGGGACAGAGGGCTTTCGGGCAACAACTGTCCGAGGTCATAGCAGTCCAGCCACCAAGGAGGAGCTTGCAAACATGGACCAAGGTGACTTCCCTGCCTGTGACACTGAGGCTCTTGCCTTTTCTTTTCCGCCTTTCTTAGGCTCAGACAGAGAAAGGGGAGAAGATGAGGGTTGTCTGGAAGACCTGGGAAAGAAGCATGAGGGAGGGGCTTTGGAGCAGGAGTGTGGAGTCCCTTGCCTTAGAGACTGTCTTCATCTTTGGAACAGGACTTGGGAACACAAGGAAAGTTGCTCACCCCATATTTGCAGGCTGCCTCAGTGGTTTTCTTGAGCTGATCTTTTACTTGGGCTGTGGAGCTCTTCTCTAGAAGGCCTTGAGCTATCTCTGCAGATAAACCAGCCTTCTGTGCTGCCTGAGGGAACACAGCAGGGGACACAGCTTTATGTGCACTGTGCAAACAGGTGCTCAGGAGAAAACTGGTTTTTCCTTTAGCTATTTTCAAATTTTCCTGGTAATGTCTTTCCCCACCCTCAAGTGGCAGTCTATCCCTGTCAAGTGACACTCCCCTTTTTCCAAAATTTGAAATGGGTGGGAAGAGTCACAACCAGAGGAAATGAACATCAGAGGGCATCTTACAGACCACCTAGTCCCACCTCTTCATTTCACAAATGAAGGGGTCAGAGGTGACACACTGCTTGCTCGGAGGTACAAATCTCTAAGTGTCTAGACTTCAAGTTTAAGATGCTTACTTTCTCACTTCTCAGAATTCCTAAATACCTCATTTTTCAAATCAAGGGCTGATTTCTAATTTCCATGGAATTTCTGGAGGACTCTGACACAATGTTATGATAACATCCCTTTGCTAGGCTTCAAGAGAAATGATAAAGGCTCTGGCTTAAGCTTGATCATTAAAGCTTGGGACCAGTGGTTCTCAAGCCTGGTGCACATCAGAATCTACAAGGGAGCTTAAAAAGAAAAACTAATGTGGAGGCCATCCCTAGTGAATGACCACAAAGAGACTCCAGGCTGGGACCAGGTGGGACAGATGATGCTGATGGACAGCCCTAGCTGAGAATCACTGCAACCTAACCTACATTAAGAGGTCACAAAGTCCATGGTAATGAGCCATTCCCTTGACAAATTAAATGAGAATTGTGTCTCAGACAAAATGGTTAACCAGAGGAGAATAGAAAGAAAACTATGCAGAAACAAAGAAGTGGACTTTCAGAAAGTCAAAAGTGTCATGGGAAAGTTTTAAATAGTAAGCAAAACAGCAGGCTAAAAATTTTATTTGCAAGAACCAAGACACTAGATGTAGTGGGCAGACTTTCGAACACCAAGCTTTGGTGTGGTTTGGCATCTCACACATTAGCTATGAATGTGCCTCGACTGTCCCTTATAAACTGGAGGAATAACATGCTCTGAATTTCCTCACTTAGCCCCACAGGAGGCCTTACTTTTAAGCTCTGTCTGTGTAGCAGGTGTTCAGTGTTTTGAGGGCATTTTCCGTCTGCTCTCACTCTGACATTTGTCCCAGAGCTCTTTTTGTCTTTTTAAAGCCTCTTACTTCTTCCACCAACTGCATTTTACCCACGTGTTGCACACTTGGCATTTCCTCTTTCAACCAAGACTTCATTTTTTTAGTACTAGAATTGAACCCAGGGCTTTGTGCATACCATGCACACAGTCTACCACTGAGCTACATCCCCACTCACTAACACTGTTCTGAGTATCCTCTTAATGCCAACTTTTCAGTAACTTGTCTCTTCTAACACATTTTTTTTTCCTCCATAGATCACTATGAGTTCTTTCATGGAATATGAGACCAAGACCAACTGTTCTCAGATTCCCTGGGATGGCACTAGGGGCAGGGCCAGGTCACTCACAGCCAGGATGCTCTGGGGCTCCACGATGTCTTCGTCCTGGGAAAAAGAGGACACTCAGCAAGAAGGGAGTAGTAAAGACAGGGAAACAACAGTAATGGAGGGCAGGATTGTAACTGGAAATGGGCCTGGGTAAGGTCAGAAAGTCATCCTTCTCAGTGGATTCCCAGAGTCTAGCCCTCACCCGTGACCAGACGCGCATCCATAGCTCCCTAGACGCCTTTTCCAGACTCTCTGGGTGCTCCATGCTGAGGGCAGTCAGGAACCTCATGGCAGACAAACTTCCTGCAGCACAGATACACTCAGGGTTAGAGCCCTTATCTTTGTGTCTGGATTGAGAACAAACTCCTCCCAGTTCTGACTTGCTTCTGGGCACTGCTGCCTGCTACCTTTAACCTGTTACCCATAACCACCTCATCCTGTTTGTCCCTTTTTTACTGATCTCACTGCCTCGCGCTGGTTCAGCTAAGATCATTCCACCCCGGGCTGCACTAACTCAGTCTCCCCAACCCTCTGGCCCACTTTCTTCTGCCCTTTTCACCTTTTTGAAGAATCACCAAGTTGAAATCCTTGGGGTACCTGAGGGGGATCTGGAAATGCTTTTTCAGGTGCTTAAGGTCTTTTTGCATATAGTGGGCTTTTCGAGGAATCAGAACTGGTGGCTTGTTTCCTGGCAGTGGAGAATTGGACAGGATGATGAGAGAAGATATATGGCTTCTAGGGTTGAAGGACCCCTCCCTTGGTCTCAGGCAGAGTGCAAATTACAGTATTAGCTGCAGGTCCTAATAAAGACCAGCTAAGAACAGCTCCTGAGATGAGATGACCCCCAGCCCTGCTCCAAATGCTTCTCCCAGCCTACCGCTGTCTTGCATGACCCCTGCAATATAGGTCGGCCGCAACTGCAGCTTGATGTTCCAGATGTTCTGATACCTGCACAGGACCTACCCCCGAGAAAGCAAAAAGCACAGTTTGGAAGACAGAAAACACTTCGCTAAGAGCTGTCTCGCGGCTGCCAATTAGCCAGAGGTTCTACACCCAGCACAGAGGTGCTAAGGGCACTCTGGTCGGCTCTGTCTCAAAGGACACACTGTCCTCCACGCCCAGAATCAATTTCGCAATTTCAGGATCTTTGCTCCTGCCCATGATTTCCCTCCTGTTCTGACAGTACAGGGTCAAGAAGTGGCCGTGGATTTCTCCTTGATTCTCTGGGGTCGGCCTTGTTCTCAAACATGGGAAGGCTGTACCTTCTGTCTTAGGAAACAAGTTCTCTCCTGGGAACCTGTGACTGTGACACAAAGTAACCCCCAGTCCCGCATACTGCTTATGGTAACCCTAGGTGCGCCGGCAAGAATTGCAGGAGCCTCAACCCGGGTGGTGCCCTTGCCCTCCAGGCCCAGGCGGGTCCCCGGGGGTCACCTCGAAGCCCAACCAGCTGTAGGGAGACAGCACATCGTAGAAGAGCTCCAGGCTGCGCGGCGAAGGCCCCATGCTGCCGCGGCAAGCAGGCGACCAAAACGCAGGTGACAGGAACGCGAAACTGGTAACGGCGGCTTGCGCCTTGCGCGACTCTGCCAGGCTTGCAGACCCTGCTCCGCCTCCCGGACCGCCCACAGCGCCGGCTGCGCAGGCTCGGTGGAGAGATCCGGGCGGCGGGGAGGGTCAGCGCTCCTACGCTCCCAGAGCGGAGGTGAGCCATGGTTGAGTCCCCACCAGCCCTGCGGTGCAGTCGGGGCGGACAGGGTGGTGTGCGATACGTGAAGTGCGTTTCACTTAGCTATGCGCCTTTGGAAGCATCTAGAGGTCGCAAAACCTCTCTGGAACTTCAGCGCCCTAGTACTGGGGACTACATAATGACCTAGAATTGTGAAAGAGGAAGAGATTCCAGTAATGTTATTGTTACTGGGGAGTCCCTTGAAACTCCAGTTCCTCATTTTCTTTTGTTCCCTGGAATTTACTTGACAATCAGCACTGTAGTCCTCTCTTACTAAGACCTAAGACCGAATGCATTGCGGCACCCGCATTGGATTCCTAAAAATCACACTGTGCTGAACCCTACCTATACTATATTTTCTCCTATACCTACCTACGACAAAGTTAAATTTATAAATTAGGCGCAATGACAGAGTAATAATGATTGCTAATAACAATATACAACATTAAAAGTTTTCACTTAGGGAAATTAACTAAAATAAGGCTTACTTGAACGTGAGCGCTTCAGTGCTTTTACAGTTAATCGGATAATCTAGAGGGCATCTAATGAGTTGGTGGGTAGTGTATACTGGGAGATGATGGAGAAAAGACTGATTCACATCTCAGGAGGGAAGGTGCAAGATTACCTCATACTACACAAAAAGGGTCACACTTGCAAAGTACGAAGTATTTATTTTTGGAATTTTCCATTTATTATATTTTAGACTAAGTGGACTGGAAAGCAAAAACCTCAGAACGTGACATTACAGATAAGGAGTGGAGGGCACTCCTGTAAGGCCAACTAGCCCACGTATAATTGCCCAGAAAAGAATATACACAGATACAGCTTCCAAGAAACCACGGTAAGTCTTAAGAAATTAAGTTAGAGAGTTAAAACTGGACATGGCAAGCACCTGGCATCCCTTATCATAAGGTTATTGAAAAGTACATTAAATGAGCAGCAAAAAGTGAGGTTTTATACGTCTCTTGAGAACATGCAAGAGAGAGGTGTTGGTAGAAAACAGTGTAACTTCCTTGCTACAATAATTTTAGGTATGATGATGAATTTATATTTGCAAATATGTCATATTAAATTGCAATTTCATTTACTACAGTGATATAATTTTTAAGAAATCACACTTAATTTTATTAAAATTACTTTGAACACTGCTAATTTTATAAATTGGCAAGCATGTGATAAAGATTCCACTTTTCATTTCTATTTATTAGGGAAAAATTTATAGGCTAACCATACAAAGATCCAGTGTACACCTCTATAGGGATTATGCTGTGTGATCAAAAACTATAACGAATGTTTAAAAAATTTATTTCTATAATAGACATGTTGCTATTAGTTTCCGTTAAAATATGTTCCTTGTTTTGAACACGTGTATCTCATTTTTCTTACCACTTTTTGAAACGATCCTGAAGTTTTCTTTCTGTCGTGTCTTTGGATGCAGCCTGGCTGCCTTGATGTGATGTTCTAGATTGACTCAAACATGGTAATGTCCTTTCATGGTCATTTCCACTTTGGGGAAGAGCCAGAAGTCGCACTGTGGAAGATCCATTGAATGAGGTGGATGATGACACAATATAATGTTTTCATGAGCCTGCTTTCCTTTGGATGGCACTAGGCAGCAGCATTTACCATATTTTTTATTATATCGTAAAGATGCTATTATGTTTTTTCATCTAAATGTTCTCTCAAAGCCTTATGCAGTCATATGGGACTTCTGGGAGTGACTGAATCATGGGCATATGAGCTGGATTAACCCACTGATTGGTTTGTCTTAGTTCTGGGTGTGACTCAGTGGATTTACTGAGGGTGAATGGCACCAACCAATAGGCTTATATCCTGCATGGAATAAAAAGGGAAAGCAGAGGGAAGACTGGTGCTTCCTGCCTGTCATGCCAGGGTCTGTTTCTCCTTTGCCATGCCCCTCTGCCATGCTACCTGGCCTTGGAGCCAGCTAGACTGAAACTTCAACAAACTGTGAACCAAAATAAACCTCTCCTCCTTTAACTTGTGGGTGTCGGTTTTTTCATTCCAGCAATGAGAAAATACCTGAAATACACACAAAAGAAAACATATAGTCTAGGTCTGGGCTGTCTCCCAGAGGTCATTTCTTAAAGGCTCAGCCTCTTGGTTGTTGGTGTTGGGAAGTGGTAGAAATTTCAAATATGAGGCCTAGTGAGAGACATGCTCTTTAAGAAGGTGGTGGGACTCTGATCTCTCTCTCCTTCTCTGTCTCTGTCTGTTGGTCCCTATCCCTAGTCCTGGTCCTGAGGGGAATGGCTTTCCCTGCCTCATATTCCCTTCATGATACTCCTTCCAAATAGGGGCCAACTCATCATGGACTGAAACTCCAACCTATGAGCCGAAATATAAGTTTTCTCTTCATAGAGTTCTTATCTCAGGTATTTGCTATAGTAATTATATTAGTCAGTGTTTCTATCTGACAACCACAATTTAAAAGTGTGTGTGTGTGTGTATGTATGTATAAAGATTTGATTTGGATTGTCACCATAATAATTAAATATTTGGTAGGAATTACTGAGACTATGTAAATACCTTCCCCCTTTGCTACCAATTTTTGCATGCATCTGGAGATCCTGCTCATGGTAGTTATGACTGTGGTATTACCCGTAGTCTAGGGATGTAGCTCAGTGATACAGCACTTGCCTAGGATACATGAGGTCCCATTTCAGCCTCTTACACTGGAAACAAAGCACAATAACAACAAACCAGTGATTTTCGATCTCTCTCCTGTTGAACTTTGTATCTGGAGTGGTTTCCAAAGGGTCATTGTTGAAGGCTTGGTCCCAACTGGTGGCTATATTGGGAGTTGGTGAAAACTTCAGATGGTAGGATGTGTTTGGAGAAAGTAGGTCATAGGAAGTGTAGCCTTAGAGGGAATCTTTCATTCTTGTTCACCACTGTTGCCTGCTTGCTCTTTCTCCCCTTTCCCTCCTCCCCTCCCCCTACTCTTCTTCCCTCTATTCCCCTTTTGTCCCTTCTCTCCCCTCTCTCTCTCTCTCCTTCTTTCTCCTCCTCCTATTTCTTTTTCCTCTCTCTGCCTGTCTCTGTCCCTCCCTCTCTCTATGTATATTTCCTTTGTGGCTGTCTTAGGTGAGCATCTTTCCTTCCCAATGCCCTTTCTTACCAGGGGCCAGGAAGAAACAAATCCAAGTTACCATGGACTGGTACCTCTGAAGCCATGAGCCAAGGACCTTTTATCCCTTAAGTTGTTTTCCAGGCATTTTGTCACAACAACAAAATGATGACTAACACAGTTCATTTCTCTATATTTATTACTAGGAATTCTAGTAGGAGTTTTATCCTTTTTGTTTATTTGTTTTATTGTTTATTTTTAACAGTATGGACTCATTTATTTAAGTATAATAAAAATTTTGAGATTGATCTGAGTATATTCTGACTCCATAAATAATAATCATAATAAATAGTAATTATTATGTATACTGGGAGCTGTTGTGGACAATGTGGAGTGGGAACAACAACAAAATTACATACACTGCTGTGTTCCATTATCTTCGTAATTCTGAGAAGAGTCTAGTGTTAAATTAAAAGTGAAAGTTAGCAGGGGATATAGTTGGCCTCCCTGGCAAGCATACAGCCCTGAGTTTGATATCCAGTACAAAAAAAAAAAGTTTAATTTGAGCAATAAATGGTTCACGCATCAGGTAGCACTCAAAAACAGAAAATGCTCAAAGAACTTAATTCTGCAGTTTGGGAATTTAGGATTTAGAGGCAGAACAAGCACTAAAAGTAAAGAAATAGCTTGATTGGTTATAGGGTAGAGTTTTATTTATCTAGACATGGCCTGATCAGCTGACTACCTCTGATTATCTGAAGCTTAGCTGCCTGTGACTGACTAGATCTAGCTATCTGTTAGGGAAATTAGACTCCTATGTTAAATATCAACTTATTTCTGCAGTAAATTAGGTTAAAGTTCTTTTCATAGGAGCTCAAAGTACAGAGACTACTTCTGGCCATTGGCTTATGTAATATAACCCTAGATACTGATGAGACCTGTTAAAACCGTATATAAAGGTATAAGTAAGCTATCTAAAGAGGCAAAAGGATCCAATAAAGAATTAAACATTATATAATTATTAGAAATTTTAAGAGTGAAAAGGTGGTGATGTATGTAAACCAGATTATTATCTTTTGTAGAACAGCCAATAATACTCTTTATAATAGAAATGTCAGTAAATAGAGCTTTAGACATATAATTTGAACTTAAGTAATTGATTCTGGAAATACAATAAGTTAGTTGCCTCTTCAAATTAGTAAAAGATAGATTATTCAATACATGATGTTGGGACAATGGGGTGGTTTACACAGAATTTTCACTTGGAATGTTTAGTTGTTTTGAAAGAAGCCATCCAAGTACCTAAGAAATTAATGAAAACACCTTTAAAAATCCAAAAGTATGCACAATCCTTACAATTGTAATATCAATACATAAAGTTTAAAGATTGATATGTTCAGTTACATACACATTGTTAAAAATTTGTTTGACAAAACCCAGTAAGTGAAAAAAAAAATGAACAAAACAAGCGAAAACCAAAAACAAGGATAACAAAATTGGTAAACATATCTGTCATTTCACAGTGAAAAAAGCCTCTTAATTATCCAAATGCAGTAAGAACTGAGAGATCAGTACATTAAAGAACAAGGAACCCTGTGGAAGAATGGGCAAGTGAAATGAGCAAGACAGTCACAAAAATGGACTTTCGATGGCTTTCAAAAAACCAAAAAACCCTGTTTATACACACTTGTAAAGCTGGCTAGTTAAATCTACATTGTAACATTTTGTTTTGGTTTTGTTTATCAAGTTTGCAAAGATCAAAAAGTTTGGGCATTCGGTATTAGCAAGGATTTATAAGAAGGATTTCTTTTACGTACTGTGTAAATTGGTACCATCTTAATACAGCATTATCTTTTGGTTTTTCAAATATATAAAATTTTTAAGCATTTTAAAGAATGTGTGGTACAAATATGATTGCTTTGATATGATGTTCTATGAAGTTATTATTATTTTTAGTTAAAAATGATAATTCTATACATTTGTGACATACAGTGTAATGTTTGAAATATGCATACAATGTGGAATTGTTAAATCAGTTTCACTAACATATCCTCCACCTTACTTAGCTGCATGTTATTTTTTCCTATGGATGTGAAAACTTACATTAGAATTCTGATAGGAATGGCACTGAATTTGTAGATTGCTTTGGTGTAGATCATTTTAGTATAGACAGCTTAACACTATCAGTTCTTCCAGTGGTTAGCCAAGGGACATCAATCCATTCATTTGTGTCTTCTTCAATTTCCTTTATTAGTGTTTTAAAGTTTTATTATACAGATCTTTCATCTCCTAGTCTCCAAATTTAGCTATTTCTGTCTATATTTTGTTTGTTTGTTATTGTTGGTGTTGTAAATGGGATTTCAGAACATTCTTTTTTTTTTTTTGGTACCGGAGATTGAGAGCGTTCATTTTGGGATAGCTTAAGATTAGGACTAAGGACTAAGTTTAGGACTAAGTTTTATGTTAATTTTGTATCCTGTATCTTTTCTGAATTTGTGTATCAATTGTCATGTTTTATTGTTAGAATCTTTAGGGTTTCTATATAACTGCACCCATGTATCTATGAGTTTTTATTACCAGTAGACAGAAACAATGTCACTTCTTCCTTTTCTTTTTAGATGTCTCTTATTTCTTTCTCCTAAGTGCCCTGGGTAGGACTTCCAGGCCTGTGAGAATGGCCTTCCTTGTCCTGTCCCTCATTTTACAGGAAAAGCTTGTAACTTCTCATGGTTGAGTACACTGTTAGCTGT